GCATCAGAGGTCTCTGCTGTGCTGGTTTGACAAGCCACAGGCATGATAAAAACCCAAAGGAAAACCCCTTGACTGCGCCCCATGCCCTTTTCTTTCTTCCCATTCTACAGAGGAAAAACGGGACAAATGACAAGCTCCTCTCTTTCATTTTGTTTTTAAGTCATTTTCAGGGCAGGGTCTTTTACAATTAGTCATTTTTTAAAAGTCAGTGTCTCACTCACCTAGGCTGGAAGTGGCACAATCATGGCTCACTGAGGCCTCCACCTACAGGGCTCAGGGGATCTTCCCGCCTCCCAAGTATCTGGGACTACAGGCATGTGCCATTGACCCTGGCTAATTTTTTTAAAGTTTTTTTTGTAGAGATGAGGTCTTGCTATGTTGCCCAGTCTGGTCTTGAAAACTCCTGGGCTCAGGCAAACTCCTACTTCGGCCTCCCAAAGGATTCACAGCAGATTTTCTGAAGTCCAGGGCGCACCTCGACGATTCCATAATAATTTTGTCCCTTTCACAGGCCCGGCTGGCACGGTCCTGCCCACATGGTCACAGACTGGCAAAGCAGCACACAGGGAGGCTGAACATATCCCAGCACTCCACTGGCTGCTCTTTTCTGGACATAAGTGGTATAGAGGTTTTTTTAAAGGCGCAGGGAGCCGGGCTTGGTGGCTCAGCCTCTAATTCCGCGCCTTTGGGAGGCTGAGGTGAGTGGATTGCCTTAGCCCGCGGGTTCAAGACCTGCCTGGGCATCTCTACAATAAATAAAAAAAATTATCCGGGCATGGGAGCGCGCGCCTGTAGTTCCAGCTACCTGGAAGGCTGAGGCGGAAGGATCGCCGGAGCCCAGCAGGTCGAGGCTGCGGTGGCCGGGAGCGGCCACTGCACCATGTCCTCTGTTGGGGCTGAAGGATATTAAGAGCGCACATGACTGTGGCTCATCCGTTTCCGCTATGGTGCAAGAAATGAATCTGTCCTGACCCAGCAGATGAAGGCTGCCAGGGTGCGCGCACTCCCGAGGCTCTTAAGGCCATTGTGAAAGCCGCTTAGCGTCCTGTGGCGTGGAGACAGGTCAGCCTGACCCGGCAACATCTGGAAGGGCCTACTATGACTGTTGGCTCCGGCGACAGAGTGGTACTTCCTGGAGCTGTGAGGGACAGCCGCGAGGACTACCCACGGCTGGTTTGCAGGGACAGTGGTGCAGCCCGGGTTCTCCTCATCCTTGGTCACCCAGTCTTGATGTCATCTGCCATACCGGTCCTCCCACGTCACCACTGAGTGCACCATAACAGGGTCGCCCTTTGCAGGGATGGGAAGCCCGTGAGTCTTGAATCCTGGGGCCCTTCTGCCAGTCGTGTTCAGTCTCCTGGCTCAGCCTTCCGGGGAAGGCCGTGTGACAGAGGCTTGTGCTGGCTCACTCCTCCAACCTGAAGCCACTTCTCCTTGCCTTGTGTGCCGCTGGCAGCACCTTGCTTGTGGTTTCCAGGCCAGGACCCGTGCCTGGGTGGCCCCGGGGGTGGGGGTGGGGCGTGTGACACACCCTGCTAGCTGAGTCATCTGGTTTCCACTAATGGGGTGAGCCACATCAAGGACAGGCCCCACCTTCAGGACCAGTTCTTTCCGGACCTGTCCCTTAGACTCCTACAAGACTTCCTTGTTGTCTTAAATTTTATTTACAGCACTTTATCCTTACAATGTACTATGCATATATTTGTTTTCTGTCACTTACGCTAAAATGAAAATTCCCTGAGGGCAGGAATGTTGTCTGGCTTATTTACCACTATATCCTCAATGCTTGGTGACATACTTGGCACATAGCAGTAGTTCAGTAACTATTTGTTGTTGAATGAGTGAAATGAGTTATTTCTCAGAACTCTTCCGGGACTTTGTAGAAGTTTCTTTGTATGTTCTTAATCTAGAACTAGAGTTAATGCAAAGTTGTCATACAAGCCTGTATGTTCTTAGGGGTAAGAATTACGTTTTATTAATTTGGGAGTACATAGGAGGCATTCAAATAATGGTGTTATCTCAAACTCCAAATATCAACTGCAGTTCAACTACAGTAATTTCCATATGAAAATTAACATAAGGATTTCATATGAATTATAGTGTAATCCATAAGTATGAAAAAATCACATTTAATTTATAAATCACTCCTATGCATATTACAAGATATTATAGGAAATACATTTAGGTACTTATCATTTCATCTTTATTTTAAAAACAATGCCATTGCCAAAATATAAAAAATAGACCTATTTTCAAAGAACCATTTAAAGATGACTTTGAAAACCACAATGTTTTATTTACAACAAACAGATGGTAGTGCAACAGCACTCATAAGTGTTTATGATAAATAAAAATACTAGTATTATTCTGGCATCCTTTTGGGGCAGACCTGTATATTTGTAGATATCTACAATGACTCACAAAAGTAAAATCAATAATGGCCAATTATGCAATTTGTATTTTAACCTGAATTTGAGCAACCAATGTAGATTAACTGCCTATCTGGGATCCAGACCCATATATCTGAAAACTAACGGAGACAGTTAAAGTTTCTCATTCAGTTTGTCAACAAAACATCCCAAGTATTCCAGCATCTGTAAAAGGTGATCTATTCAGCATCTCCAATAAATGGATTTAAAGTCATATATGCTAAAGGCTGACACAGCTAGATCCTCCAAGTTCAGATTTTATAAATTTAAAATACATAAAATACCTATGCAAAAAACAAGAATTGGATCCAGGATTACATTTTAAATTATGGAAGTCTCTGGGGGAAAAAATTAGCAATGGAATGATAACAGATGTCAGATATTTCTCAGAAGTATATAATGTCTCAAATTTTTCTAGTCTGTGCATTCTAATTAAATTAAAACTGAGCACATTTATAGTGGATTTTTCGCACTACAAATTTCCTGATTCTAAAACGGTGGGGATTTGGCAACACTTTATCCGGTAAATTCTTAAAGTTTAATTTACCCTTGAAACATACAATGACACTCTTGTAAGAAGCCATTTTCTTGCTATTGCACAAAGGTTCATTTTAAAGCCAACTCGGGCAAATATGTTCAGAAAAAGAAGCATAGTCATCCCATTTAGCAATTGCTGCAAATTAGCTTCTACTCAGCAATGAAACGTGGAAATCTATGAAGCTCTACACTTGGTGTGTTTTAATATTGTGTTGATGGCAGCCATTTCAGGCAGAGGTAGCCAAATTCCATATATATGGGGAAGGCAAAAAGCAGAAAAACATTGTGAAGACTTAGCAGCTCTCTGACTTCTAATGATGACAGCCAAATTTTGATTATGAGTCATGTTGCTACGCAGCATTCTTTTACGCCTTAAACACAAAGGAACTTGTTGCTGCCTTGGGCAGATATACTGGAACTGTCTTCTTTTAGCTTACTTTCTCTTTTCTCTAAGGTCAAGTAAAAAATGTGAGACATTTTCATATACCACAAAGGTAATACAGCAGGCTGGAGTCACTCTAATCAAATTGGGAGCGATTCCTTTGTAAAATCCACCGATGCCTTCTTTCCTTTAGAGAGAAAAACAGATATATGCTTAATTTTCTAAATAGCTAATTTGAAAACACAAATGTTAAACTGACACAGGCACGGAGCAGTCAAACCTCACTCTGATTGAAGTCCATGTTTTCAATGTCCTGAAGTAATGAAGGTCCATGAGCCATTTGTAGGGGTTAACATCCTTTTATGGATGGACCGAGGAAAAGAGGGTAGGAACACCTTCCAACTGAACTAAAAAGTGCTTTCATTTAACCATCTTTCAAATGTTTTAAAATGTATGAACATGCAGGAATTTTAACTGAACTAATGTAGGCATTAAAAATCTCATCGTTTATATAAATGCTAGACAACACTAAAAAAAGCATACACAAAAATAAAACTTTATTTCTTTCATGACCAGAATATGGGGTATGGCCTAAAAACTTGTCACTTAGGTTCTCATTAAATATTTTTTGAATTCAACTAACTTTAAACTTTCTAAATATTCTCTCTGGCCTTTCAGCATGAAAGGAAAATATGGTGATGCCTACCTATAATAGTTTAAGTAGTCTCACACTAAAGAACAAGCATCTCTTCCACACACGGCAACAAGTATTTGCAAGTTATACTGCCGGCAGCAGATGCAGTGTCTTCTCAAATGTATTAAACTAGGTTTATAACTGCTTATACTCAATGCCATTAAAATATTTTACAACATCTACATTTTGTTTTATTAATTTTTTTCAAAAATATTCTCACATCTTATTTGATTTTTATAACAACCCTGTTATCCTACAGAGTCTAATTTTATAAATGAAGAAATCAAGCCTCAGAGAGATTAAGTCCCTAGTGGCATATGTAGTAAATGGGAAAGCAGGGACCACAAGCATGTCTTCACCACAGCAAACCAGCTTCCGCTCTAAAACTAGTATCAATGGGCAGTCTAAGATATGCATGGTACCTTATCAGAGCAATTCTGATATTCTGTATGCTCTTACCTCCATGTCTTTGTGATTACATCCATCACACCACTGTAAACCATGTGTTGATCCTGAAGACGAGCTCTCACAACTTGGTATGGGTATGTTGCTGCTACAGCAAATATTTTGGACAATGCTGCAACAGATATATATTCTACTGTGCTCTAAAATGACAACACAAAACACTTTTGGTTTTCTTTAGACAGGCTTTCTTTAAACTATAGAAGTAAAAATTACATTTAAAAAATTTAAATGGATCTTTAAGGGGTTCTAATTTTAACATTTGTGTGGCATTGGTCTATAAATTTTTTTTTTCCCTTGACCCCTCTTCTCTCTGGGACTGTGCCTCCATGCCATTACAAAATATTTAACTATAAATTAAATTAGTGACAGTCAGTACTCATAATCATAGCAATACTATCAAAGTTAAGAATCACAAAATTTTTACCTTTTTAATGCCCATAAAAGCAAATGATATTAGTTTTATAAGAATCATCTCACCAACTGGGCTTCTGGTAATCTATTGATATGCTGATTGTACTTCAGCTTCAGCAATTCATACGCCATAAACTGAAGGGCACCATGTGATGTTCCGAACAGTCCAGGAATAAAACCCTAGAAGGGAATGATTTTTAAAAAGCAAAACAATATACTTTCAAAGAAAGATGTATTTAAGTAAAATATTTTCTCTCCTCTCTCGGTATGGTACTTCAAGCAAATTCATTTAAGTTTTGCATAAGTCACTTTAAAAAAAAAATGAGTTAAAGACATATGGTAGTAGTATAAAAAACCACGGGGGTAGTATTCTTTCTGCTTGATTCTTCAAGTTAAAGTTTAGATTTTCATATACTAGTTGCTCATTAAACAGTATACATAAAACATAAGAAGACCTACACAATCAATAACAGGGACGTGAGTGGAAGATTAAATTCTGGGAAGTTAAGAAAGTAAATAGTAACTCAATGGACTAAGCACAGGCACTCTAAAATAAGGCAAGGGGTGATGATGAAGAACAAAAATTGAATGACACATTCCAAAACATTTGCCCATAGGCCTGTCATCCTAACACCAACTTCATAATTTAGTGATTTTAAAAGCTATTACACAATTCTTGAAAAATAAGGTGAAATTCAACGTATCTAATTTTGACTTTAAACTATGTATATCTAAAAAAAAATTATGGGGACAAGCAAGAGGTGGGAGTGAAAGGTAGAAAAGGGGAAAAAAAAAAGTTACGAAAACAGATCTTACTGTGATGAGGAAAAAAATTTTAAATACTACAATAGGCAAGGGGCTAGGTTTTTTTAACTGTGTATTTTTAAACTTATTTAAATTTTGAGATAAATTAAAATATCAAAATAAGATCCTGTTAAGCTCAATGACCTCTTCTCTATATTACATTATCCCAAGTTCCCAAGAGCCCACAGCTTCCAAGAAGTGGGATAAAGAATGAGTGATCTATTTGTATGACTTATCAAAAAGATACTTGACAATGTTTTAGATGGTTCTCACACCCACCGCTGTCATGATGGTACATCTTATGGTAACAAGGATAAACAAGGTAAAAACTCTATATTATAAACTAGATTTCAGTTTTTATTACATTGTTCCTATATTATAAACTAGATTTCAGTTTTTATTACATTGTCATCCAAACTGAGATGAGAGGACATTATAATTTTCAATTATTCTGTGTATTTTATATACATATATATAAATTTTTTTTTTAAGTAGGATGTATCGAGAGGACAGGAAAGCTCCCACAGTGGGAGGGGACTCGAGGGGGTTGCCCCAAAATCTATTTTTCTAAAAACTATTTTTCTTGGTGCTTAAGTTATAGTACCAAAATATATTTATAATAATTTGTTACCTTATACAATCCACGCACACCTTCATACTTGTATATTTTCACAAGTGTATCAAACATTCCTTTGTACTGTCGCTGTGGGGTGCTCACAATACCGTTATACTGCAACATAAGGCGAGTTTTTGTTACCCATAATGGGTTTGTAATGCAGAGGGTCATGGCTCCTAAAATGAGATTTAAATAGGATTATTCAGCATAAGGTACTTTCTCACTTATTACAATCCAAGTTAAGAAAAGTCTATTTACATAAAGAAAGAATGAGACTGCACAGGTGCTGTATCTGAAACAGTGAAAGTGATCTCTGAGGCAAAGTCTTAGGGTCAAAAGGTACACAGAGTTTCTGATATTCATAAAGTTCTTCATGCAATTATTAAGAGGTAAATTAAAAGGAAGATGGAAATGTGAAAAGTTTTTTCTTTGAAGTACACAGATAGCAAAGATGTGCTGACTCCTAAATAATGTGATCTGGTATACAGAATAGATAGTTCGGAGCCACAGACCTCAGGAGTAGGAGATGACATAAATTAGGGGGGATTGAAGATAGGGGAAAAGGATCAGGAACCTTGCACCTCAATAATCTGTGCATGTGTACCCCAGCTTTATTACAATCTTCCTCAAATCCACTCAAAGCAGTTACTAACCCCCTCAATAATTAAGGTACTATATCAATAAGTCACATTTCCTTATAGAAAGTGACAATTTTGTAAAAAAATTAAAAAAAAAGAATTCACCTGGGTAAGTTTCTCATTTACTAGGTTTCCTAAGTAGTCCTTTATTCAACAGATATTTATTGAGTACTGTTATGATTCAGGTCTCTGCTAGTGGCTAGGTATTTAAAAATGGGTATGATAGTTCTTGCCTTAAAAATTAATTACTAAACATTAATAAAACAAAGTATGCAAGGTATCAGTCACAGACTTATGGGTCTTATTTTGTTTTTCCTTCTGGATAGTATACATACAAGAGGCAATTACCAAGGCTACCAAATTGTAAAATTTGAACACTAAAGCTATACTTTAAAAAAGAATCTATGCCAAATCACTTTAAACTATGCATATATTTTCTAAATCTTACCACCTGATGAGTAAAATTCCTGAAATCTGCCCAGAGTAATCAATAAGAATACCTGCTTTCTATGTAATTTCATGTTATAACTGACTAACATGGTTAGATGAGCATATTTAAATTCAGATGTTAACAAAAGGGCAAATAAAATAAAAAACAAAAATGAAAATCAAGTTTGGAAGGTGATGTATACTTCACATACTGCCTTACCAGCTTCAGCAGCTGAGATGAGGTATTCTGTTGCCTCTAACCGTTCTGCTCTTCCTTCTGTCTTATATGATTTGATGGCATTGTAACTAAAAGAATTAAATATAAGCAGATTAGTTTGAATAGGTGTCATAAAGCAGTAAAGTCTGTTTAAAAGTGTGTAACTTAACAACAGTATCCCCAAAAGTAAATGCCAATGCATAATACAACCACAAGACAAGACCTGCTTAACTCCAAGATTATGCCACCCTTCCAATCCGATGTATATGGCTAGCAATACACATATGTAAAATATTTTAATCACACACTCATCAATTAATTTTTTTTAAAAAGATGGGAAAACTGGTAGGAGGTGAGGGTGTAGTGTGGTACAAAGATCAGGCAGAAGAGGCAAAAGAGACAAAAGGGTCACCTTAACGAATGTGTGCTGAGCATCTACGTTCAGGCACTATAGTTGGCTTTCTGATAGTTAAAAAGATAAACATTTGATGGATTTTTCTTAACAGACTAACAAGGATGATAAGTGGTGCATAGGTAATCATAATGAAAGACAATACAGATAGTATAAGAGATTCAGAAACTAAGATTACAAAAGGCTTTGTGTCAGAGGTGGCATTGAGCTGGATATTGAAAGACAATTTCAACAGGGAAACAGATGAGCGTGGGAGACAGAGACTTGGGGGTTTTATTTGTCAGGGACAATCAGTCCATTTTCTTGAATGCCAATCTCTTTCCTCTTAGAAGAAGACTTCAGTTGAATAAATCTGTTCAAACTTTACCAATACCACCCTAACATAAAACAAATGAACTATTTTATTATAAGAAATTCTGATCACATAAACTTCATATTCATATGGCTTGTCCTTAGAAACTCTCTTGGGGAATCTATACTACTCAAGTTAATAAAGCATTATATAAGTGTGTGTGTGTGTGTGTGTGTGTGTGTGTGTGTGTGTGTGTGGTTTCACCCATCTATGTTTTCGGACTAAAAATAAGAAAATTATTTAAACAATACTAACGCTGAATTAGTTCGGATACTGCCATAAACTTATGGAAGATAAGTAAAATACATGACACAAAAAAGCAAATATACTAAGTATTGATGTTTCCCTAAAAATGCCATCTGTTGAAACAAAAGCTTCTCCATTCACGGTTTCAGTGTCAAATATCAGAGGCCTGCTCAGAACAGCAAGCACTCCACCACACAATGCCATGACCCTTTGTTACCATGCTCTGGTTAGCTGAGTAAGCTGAATGTGCCTGCCATAGGCATTTTCGGCACGTGGTAGAGTTATTTCAAAATGGTAATGATATCTGACAGGTAAACAAGTAAGGGAATGAGTAAGCTGGGAAGGTGATGAGGCAGGTCAAATAAGAGGTAAGAAGCAATATGCCTCAAACCCTTTCAGCATGCACTGGCTTTTGCTGTCCCCAACAAGAATCTCCTGAGGTGTGTGCACTGAGGACTACAAGTTCTGTCCTCGCCTGCTTTTTCAATTTCATTATGAATCACATGTATTTGTGTAAGCCATCACAAATATTCTGGGAATCTGACTGAGGATAAGTTAAGTAATTACCTAACAATACTTCAGTATTTATGAAATTTTCTGTTTCAGGGCACTCTGGAACTAATCTCTCATAAATGGAGAAAATAACTTATTTTAAACAATCTTAATCAAAATTGGATATCGAAGAGAACTGAAATTCAAAGGATTTATTACAGACAATGTTTCAGGCTCCTTCAGTCTCTGCAACACTTTACAAAACTACTGATAAATAAACTGCCGAATTTAACTTCTTCTAGTTTATTTTGACTGTTAGAAATGCTCAAGAGTACGCACTGATATGGCCAGAATACCTCATAAATACTGAAGAGGCCTTACAACATCATTGTGAATTATCTGGAGGTAGCTGTTTTTCAAACGTCTTAACTAAAATAAATAGCTTTCTTCTAATGTGTGAGTATTCAGCTTACAAAAGTAAACATTTCACCTTTCTGAATTCACCTCACAGAAATGGCTTCTGTACAAGTATTTTATCACCTCATCCCTTCACCTTTTTCCTATTAAGAACTTTCTTCAAAAAAAAAAAAAAAGCCAAAAAGAACTTTCTTCCAGAGCAAATGCTCCTGATAACAGGTAACAGAGAATGAAACTAAGAAGTCATTTTTCTCTTTCTGACCCTTCCAATTCAGATACACCGATTAAATGATTCACCTTGTTTCACCATCTGATAAGTTAAAGTCACTAAAAACAATAATTCCTTTGTGCTTAATACTGCAATCTCTCTCAGATCTACTCACAAAAAAAAGTAGAGTCCCCAGGATAAACCCGCACCCCACACATTTGGGGTTACTCCTTGATAAAGTCCCCGTAGTCCATCAAGTTTCCAAATGGTAGTCAAGCAATGTAAAATTCCTTTATATTTTGGTCTCAGCTCCAATCCATCACTCACTGCATTAAAAGATACACAAAGTTAGGTGAGAGTAAAGTTCTAGCTCTGAGTCACATATAATCATAGATATCACATAATCAGTTATATAAAGGAGATAAATACAGAAGAGAAGACTTTTTAGGTGAATAAATTATTTTCCAGGATTATTTACTATTTTAAAATGTATGCATTCAGGAATGTATCCAAGTATTTATTGAGGGCATACTAAGCATTCAAAGAATATTTCAGGAAGTGTTAGATTAGCTCAAATAATCCAAAAGTCTCTTAGGTAACTAGGTTTCAGCACTTAAATTTTTGTTTTGTTTCAAGATTGAAGATTTAAATGTTAAAAAATATTACTCAAAAAATAAACTAGCCAGGAGCCTCAATTACAAGTTGCTGGCAAGACCTGAGGAACGGCAGGAAAGAATATGCAGAGAATGGAGTAAACTTTTTTCCTGGAAATTCTCTTTTCCCCCTCCCCACTAGCACACACCAAAATCCAAGTAGAAAGCAAGAAAGTGTTTTCCTGGAACATATCCAAAATTGAACTAATTTTCCCAATTCCTTCCAAAACTGTTCTTATTCTAATGTTTCATACAGCTCTACAAAATGCCACTACCATCTATCGGATACCTGGGAACCATCTGTGAACACTCCTCCCTCTCATTCCCTTTTCTTCAATTAACAGGTCTTTTTGATTCTATATCATAAATATTTCTTGCACTAGTTTTATGTCTCTCAGTACACTGCCATCATCCTACTTCAGAACACTATTAGTTTTCTTTCTTTTTTTTTCTTACTCTGTCGCCCAGGCTAGAGGGCAGCGGGACGCTCCTGGCCACCTCAGCCTTGACCTGCTGGGCTTAGGCAGTCCTTCCACCTCAGCCTTCCAAGCAGCTGAAACTACAGGCATGTGCCACCACGCCCAACTTGTTTGTTTGTTTATTCATTCATTAATTTATTTATTTTAGAGATGAGATCTCACCAAGTTGCCCAGGCTGGTCTTAAACCTGTGGGCTCAGGCAATCCTCTCACCTCAGCCTCCCAAAGTGAGGGGATTATAGGCATGAGCCACATGCTCGGCCTCATCATCAGTTTTCAGCTAGCACCATCAGCATTTAAAATAGTCTCCTTGGCCAATTTTGTAAAAAAATATATATAATCAAAATGATAAATTTGGCATTCTTTCTCATTACATGTCTCTGTAGGAAACAGAAGGCACATTCAAAACAGGATAATTCTGGGATGTGAGGGGTGGTTAAAAGGACTATTGACAAAGGTGTGAGAAGGTTGTAAGAAAACCACAAGAAATACTAGAGTAGCCATGATTTCTTTATGGTTTTGAAAAGTCATTTAATCCTATAAGCACAGTATTAAGTATCTCAGCACATTATATATTATACATACTCTACTACGTTATGCTATAACAGAATACAAAATTGGAATTTTACTATATGTAGTTTTGTATACAGTTTTTCCCCCATTCAAGAGTATTTTTGAACATTCATACTTATATTCAAAAATAAAATAGATTTCCAAAAATAACATTAAAAAATGATGTTAGAGTTTTTCATTGTATGAAAGCCCATCATTTATACAATCATTCCCCTATTTGACATATGAATTATCATTTTTTGCTACTACAAAAACGTCTCTGAAGAATATTATGCACAGCAATCTGTATGAATTCTTATTCCCTTAGAATTTAGCTATTAAAGGGAGAAATGGTATGGATCAAGGGTATAAACTTAAGTTACCAATACATACTGAAACTGCCTTCCAGAAAGTTCACACAAATTACAGTCCACTAGCCATACATGAACATGCCCAGTTAACTATCTCTTGTCACTATGTCACTGTGTGTATAATCATCCCTGGCAAAGAAGAGTCACTGACAGTTTATCATTGCCAGGCAAAGAGGCAAAGTCAATTCCTCTCATCATTAACTTGCCAATGTTACAGCATGAAGTGAGATTAAAGTACACTAGGTTTTGGCAGAACACCTGGGTTTGATATATAACTTCCCTAATTAGCTACATGGTCTTAGCCTTTCTGAGCTTCAGCATCCTCATTTATGAAAGGGGATAAATATCATCCACCTCACAGTTTTGTGAGGCTTATACAATATAACAAGTTTAAAAGCAGGAAGCAGAGAGATGGGCCTTTGATAAATGTTTTCCTGTATACTTTATAATTTTTTTCATGCTTCCCTTGGATTCTGTGTTTTTAAATCCCTTTTATAAATGTCTCCCTTTAAGTCTCTTTCCATTTTCCTCTCAGTAATAAGCTCCCAACACAATTTCTCACTTGAGGTTAAAAAGCAAAACAAACCACAGAATACCACCTTTCTTTTCACAGGTATAAACCAATGCTTTCTTTACAGTTTTGAGAAGTCACATAACCCTAGAGGTAGAGTATTAAGTATCTCAGTTATAGGCAAGAATGATTAGAAGCTTGTCTTCAGGAGGAGAGAAAGGTTTACCTTGACATAGGAGAACAGCTAGTGCTATTTATATGGCAACATCACAGCACCTGGCACTGTCTGAGGTGAGCACTGAGGGTTTGGTACAGTTGAATTGCTGGGCTGGTGGAAAGAAGAGCTGGTAGGGAACTAGGCTGAGAAGGGCAAATGCCTGTTATGAACTAAAATGCATCTCCACAAAAGTCATATGTTGAAGTCCTAACTCCCAGTGTGACTGTACCTGTAGACAGGGCCTTTAAGGCTAAATTATTAAGGTTAAATGAGGTCATGTACAGATATAATAGGACTGGCATCCTTTTAAGAGGAGACACCAGGAGTACACAAGCACAAAGAAAAGGCCATCTGCAAACCAAGGAGAGGGGCCCCACCAGAAACCAACTCTGTCCGCACCTTGATCATGGACTTCTAGCCCCCAAAATTGAGAGGATACATTTCTGTTGTGTAAGCCACACTGCCAGTGGTATTTTGTTAAGGCAGGACTAACAGCAAAGGTTCTTTGACCTCATATGTTTTAAAAACATGAAGACGGCCAGGCGTGGTGGCTCACGCCTGTAATCCCAGCACTTTGGGAAGCCAAGGTGAGGGGACTGCTGAAGTAAGGGGACTGCCTGAGCCCATGGGTTTGAGAACAGCCTGGGCAACTTGGCGAGACCTCATCTCTACAATAAATCAAAAAATTAGCCAAGCGTGGTAGCACGCACCTGTAGTACTGCCTGAGCCCAGCAAGTCGATGCTGGGGTGGCTGTGAGCGTGCCACTATACTCCAGCCTGGCCGACGGAGTGAGACTCCAACTTAAAAAAATAATAATAATAAAAATAAAAACAAAACCTGCAGACAATGAATAATCAGTATGTCAATGTAAGCACCTCTCAAATAACGGCCTGTGATAGTAGTAAAAGATGCCAATAGATACAAGCTGAAGATTAAAAAAGAAAAAAGTTTGGTGTGTAAGAGGAAACCAAGATGGGGATACTAATTCTAGATTCATATCAAGGAAAGGCAATGACTCTTAAAAAATTACCACCTAGCACTATCACCCTAAAACAACCGATTTCATTTGCTAGATATTAGTTTTGCCCCTCTTTTCTTCTGTCACAAATGAAGATTCTGTCTCTTAATAAAGTGAATCTCCTCTACTTGAGCTCTATATTGGTGTTTTTAAAACTGCAGATGAGTCAAATCAATTGAGCAGATTGCTAGTATCATTTTTTTAAAAAAACCAACATACTGGAACAGAAACCAAATATAAATGATACCACATGTAGTAAGAATATGTGTTTCATGAAACTTGTGTTTCAGTAATGCTTGTGTGTGTGTGTGTGTGTGTGTGTGTGTGTATGCATCAGATAGCAAAGGTAATATTTATTTCCTATTAAGGGTTCTGGCCAAAAAGTTTGAGACATTGCTTTGGATCCTGTCCTCTTAGACCTCCCGTTTCCTTAGAAAACTCACTCATTACCTTCCTGTCTCCATTTCCAATCTCTTCTCTACTTTTAGTCCTTTCCCACCAGAATTTTTCTTTTGAGTTGGAGCCTCACTCTGTCGCCCAGGCTAGAGGGCAGTGACATGCTCATGGCCACTCCAACATCAACGTGCTGGGCTCAGGCAATCCTTCCACCTTAGTCTTCCAAGTAGCTGGAACTACAGGCACACACTACCATACCCGGCTAATTTTTCAATTTATTGTAGAGATGAGGTCTTATCCAGTTGCCCAGGCTGGTCTCGAACCCGTGGGCTTAGGTAATCCCCTCACCTTGGTCTCCCAAAGTGATGGGATTACAGACTTGAGCCACAGCACCCGGCCTCCCATCAGAATTTAAACAGGCTTAAATCTCTGAGTCAGTATCTACTCTTTAATCCCAATGTCTCCATCAGTTAAGTTTTTGCAGCGAGAACCCCCCCCCCCCCCCACCAATCTCAGCAGGGACCCTCTAACCTCCAATGAAATCTGGTCTGGATCTCACCATTACTTCAAGTGTCCTAATTAAGGGCCTCCAAGTCCTTAATTAATTAATTGGAAGTCCTCTGTTTCTTATGAACCCCTTAGCACTACCCCCTAAACACTTCTTTTGGCTGATTTTACTACCATACTTTCCTGATTTACCCCTTACTTTTTTGTCATTAAATTTCCTTGGCCTCCTTTTCCTCTGCCCATCCTTAAATGTCGATTTCTACAGGCACACTTTCCATTAAACAGGGATGGTCTCTCAACCTCTAAGGAACTTCAGTTGCCATCCCTGTGCTATGCTTTCTCCATCTCTAATCCTGATCTTATTCCTAACATCCAGACCTGGTTTCCATTTTTACATGGCATAAAAGATTTATCAATCTGGAGTACATGCATTCACTCCTAAGTGGACCCTGAAAATGTATCACAATATTCTAAGAAAGGAATTGTCAGTAGTGGAACACTGCCAGGGGTAAGAGGGTACACACATAACATCAATAAGAATCTCAAACCAGGTAAAGTGGGGACCAAGGGGAAGCCCAAACTTTACCTGTATGAAGACCACTTTTATACCTAACCCTGAATTGTACCCCACATCTTTAAAATAAAATTTAAAAATTGCTGGGCTCAGTGGCTCAGCCTGTAATCCTGCGCCTTTGGGAGACTGAGGTGAGTGGATTGCCTGAGCCCGCGGATTCGAGACCCGCCTGGGCAGGCGAGACCTCATCTCTACAATAAATCAAAAAATCAGCCGGGTGTGGTAGCGCATGCCTGTAATTCCGGCTACTGAGGCGAAGGATCGCCAGAGCCCAGCAGCCACTGCACTCCAGTCTGGGCGACGAAGTGAGACTCCAACTCAAAAAGTAAATAAATAAGAAAAAAAATCTATCAATCTGGCAGCTTCTAAGCTTTCTGGAATCATCATTTTCATCTCTAGCATTTTAATTTACCCTTTATTATACCAAACTACCCACTCATAGTTTCAAATTAACAGTAAATGCTATGAAAGCAGACTTCCTGGGTTTGAATCACAGTCAGTTCAAATGATTACTGTGCAATCTTGAGTAAGTCACTTGATTTCTCATCCATAATATGAAAAAATAATAGAATCTAACTCTAAAAATTATAAAGAATTAAATGAGTCAATATATATCAAGCCCTTAGAATATATATTATGCCTGGCATATTGCAAGCGCTCAATAAATATTAGTTTATTTATGTTGTGGGCCTTGCAATACCATATACACACAAAACTTCACTCTGTGTTATACCTGTTACTGAATTCTGTATTTTAGTCCCTTGATAAATATTTCAGATGTAGTCAAACTTTCTTACTACACTCTTCACAAAAACTCAAACATATCTTTAATTTGTAGATAATTAGCCTTTGGAGTAATTTTTTAAATTACTTTTTTTTACACCTCATTCACATTCTTCTTTGTTGGGGCTCTCTCCTACTATTCTTGAGGATTTGCAGTAACATCATAAAGTTCAAAGGAACCTCAACAATCATTTACTTCAAACATTCCCAGTACAAAAATATCTTCTAACTTCTGTCATGCAACTGCTATCTGAATTACTTCTAGTCATCACCAGTTTCATTTCTGAGCATCCCCACTTTGGCCAGGCCAAAATCTGCTCCCTTGTAACTGCCACTCAACCTATGTCTGACTTTCTCTAAATATCTTAAGTTTTTTTTTCTCCCTTCAAGCTAACCTAGTTCCTCCAGTCATTTCTCATATGAAATAATTTCTAATACTTCTACTATTCGGGACACCCTTGAGTTCCATGGTATACTTGAACTCACTGAAAAATTCCAGGTTTGGTTTAATATATTTAGTACATATATTCAGGACCATGCCCCACCCCTGTCATTACATATCAATTTTATTAAATGAGTTTAGCCCTTTGCACTTGGGCACATCTCAAGGATCACCTACCGGCAATTTGACCGAACTTTTTTACAAAATAGTGAAAAATGAATCCCTTCATATTAAATGGCATAGAGTTGGAACAAACTATTTTATTGTAATAATATTTGGCTTATAATGGAATTTTGGACATTGAGGAACTTATTTATGACAAAAAAATCAAAATTTTGTATCTTATATTTTTCTAATGTATGGTAACAATCTGTGTTCAACTTCAAAAGTCTCTTTAAGGCTACGGTAATTTATCGATCTTTCCAAGTTATGTCATATGACACCAAGGATATACCCACAGCTGCCTTTCTTATACCTTCTGTTACAAAGAAATATCCATACCACTGTGAAAGCACCTCACACATTCTCTTTTATGTAACACCTGCTGATCTTTTTAATGTATATCTCAGTAAATATTCCGTCTCTTTGCCTTTTCATGCAATTTGAATGGAAAACTCCAAGGAAGCATATGTTTTTGAAAAATTTGCACTGGCATAAGTTTGTCTTGTATAATCACTAACAATCTCTTTATGTTCCTTGAGAGGGGACATCTGAGTGGTTTGCTAGATTTACAATGTCCCCTCAGAGGGGACATCCCAGTGCAAAGGGTTAATTATATGAAAGCATAAAAACTACAACCTGTTACTCAACATTGATGCTGATGACCAATACGTTTTTACTTCCGTTATTCACCTTTTATTTTTGAAGCAGGATTTATTGAGAAGAAAAGTTCCCAGAGTGGGAGGGGACCCAAGGGGGTTGTCCTATTCACCTTCTTAAATGTTCCTTTTATCCATCACCATTTTACACTGTGGACTTATTACCAAGTCCTGCTTTGACTCCTATATCTTTAATATAGGCCTCCCTCCAGTATCAATCCCCTTATCTGTCACCTCAGCTCTACTAGTCTCCCAATACCCATTTTATCAAGACTATTAATCTTCTCAGATACCAAGATTTCCTTTTCCTCAGGCATAGTTTGTTTCACAGCACTGTCTTAAACTCACTAGGCCAACCTCACTATTTCTCAATGATCATCTCAACTGTTACCTCTTCTGCTCCTAGACAAAACATTGCTGAAGAAACTAAGTTATACAGGCCTGCACCTGCAGCCACGTCCAAAATTCTCTTCAAGTTCAAGTCACTGTATAATAGGGACTTATAGCGGTAGTGTGGTGAGTGGTTAAGAGTCAGAGGGTTCTAAAGTTAGACTGCTTGGGTTCAAACCCCAGATCCATCTTTATAAACTTGTGACAGGAAAGTTAGTCAACCTGTTACCCTCATATGCATAGGATTGCTCCTCTGAATACATCTTCAGGACCATAAATGAAAAAAATGCATCTAAAGCTCTTAGTTCGTCTTGCTCCTAGTAAATGCTCATAAAGATTATTTGTCAATAATAATATTCTTGTATGTGCACACATAATGAACTCATGAAATTATATGCCTTTTGTGTTTTTTTTTAATAAGAATAATATTGCATAACTTTCCATGATTTGCCTTCATAGAATGGCTTTTTGCTTCCTTTCCTGCTGTAAAAATATTAGTTCTTTTATGGAGAACCTCAAGATCTAAACTTTCATGGGACCTTTACAGATACATACAGTGATCAGTAATCTACACATTTCCTGATAGTTTACCTGTACTCTTGATTTGATTTTATGTCGACTAGAATTATCTTTTACATGACTAAGTCTCAAGCCTATAATTCAAGTGTAAATTTCCTGAGGGTAAGAATTTTGTTAGATACTTCTTTAGCCCATACAGCAGTCTATAAATATTAGGAAAATATACATAGTGAATTGAATAAAATTATCTAACTGTAAGATAAACCACTTTTGCAGATTTAATTCTTATGGCTGAACTTCACTTTTAACAATCAGATAACTGCAATGAGAGAAAATACTTTCCAGTTATCAAAGACCATCTTTGAAACTCTCTCTCCAGACTTTAGTGTCGAGTTTAACTTCTAAAATGCTTTGTTAATCTTAACATACTTAATACATTTAAACAAAACGGCATTTAGATTCTTCACAAATTTCTTCACAAATCCTTGCCCCACGCTATAAACGCCAACAAACAAAGCAACTTTCAAGAGAATTCCATTCCAAACCTACTCCCAAACCATCCGCTGAGGATTACGCCCTACCCTAACACTGCATTTTTTTTTCCTCTTCGCGCTGCCAAACACGTGGCTAGCCTCTAAGATTTCAAAGTACCTCCAAGGCTGAATGATTTGCACGTGTAAGGGCTAAATCCTGTAATGCGACAATCCCTTCTTTGCTTTTCAAATCAAGCTCTGAACCCCACGTTCTACACCAGTGAGGCTTTCTCAGACTTTTCTGCCCACATGCCCCAACCCTGAGTCCAGAGGAGCGAGGGACCCGCTCGACCAGCACTTCCTCAAATCTAACAGTTCCAAGTGAGCCAAGGCAGACAGCATCTCCTCCAACGCTCTCCTCCTCCTCGTAGTACGTTAAACGCGGAGGCGACCGCGGGCTAACAGTTGTTGGAAGCAGCCCAGGATCCAGGCTCTTACCGGCGAAGCGGATCTTCACGAGGTCCAGCGGGTGCAGCGCGAGGTTAGACAAGACCCCGCCGCTCACGCCCGCCACCAGGTTCTCATACCGGACGTGGCGGAACACAGTACTCCACGCCGACGACCCAGACGCCGCCTGGCCCTGGCCGGTCATAGGCTCGGGGCCCGCCGACACCACGGCGCCCAGGGCCGCGGAGGTGGGACGAGATGCAGTGGCCGCCACCGTGGCGACGGTCGTCCCTTGGGGCAAGAACCGGGACTAGTGAGATGACTTCGACGCCCCAGGCGCCGGAACGAAGCCAGGCGACTCGGGGGCAGAGGGGGTGTGAAGGAGGCGCAGCCCCACGTCACGCCGACCGAAAGTGCTGTGGAGGCGGGCCGCCCACCCCGGCCAAGTCCCCGCCCCACCTCGTCCACAACCCCCTCAGGCTCCAGCAGCCGGACTAGGGAGAGAACGCTCAGCTGAAGAACCGCCCCCTGCCGACGTTTGCCGACAAAACTACGGAGCGCCGCAGGATCCAGCTGAGCCGACCGGCGGCCGCTGGGTGAGTCACGTGACAGGAAGTAGTCTGAAAGAAGCGGAAGTCGCATGTGCGGGAGGAGGCAGCAGTGAGCCGAGCCCCGAGTGGGGAGGTGGTGCAGGCCGGGAGGAAAAGCAGCCAAGATGAAGGTGAAGATGCTGAGTCGGAACCCGGACACATATGTCCGCGAAACCAAGTTGGACTTACAGAAAGGTGAGACAAGTTGGTAGGGAGAAAGGGACGCGGTCCGCGAGCCCTGGGTCTCGTCTTGGCTTCTACGGAATACAGGTGGGGGGAGGCTGGGGCTCTCGTCGCGTTCTTTCCTAGTTCTTTCTCGCCAAGGCCAACTTTGTGCAAATAGGGTCGGTGCGGAACCGGGTAGCAGGTAACGTCTCTTCAAGTACTTTCTCTAAGAATTGTATCTAGTGGTAAGTGGGAAATAATTATCTGAAGGGGAAAGCTTCCATCTGCCGCTCTCGGATCGCCCTCAGGTTCCTATTGAAGAGTGGAACCTGAATGAACAAAACTTGCGGGTTGAAGGAAAGAAGAATTAAACAGGCTTTTAAAACCTTCCTACTGCTCCAACTTCTGGCCACTTTACTGTTTCACATCAGGGACTTCCGGATGTTGGAAGAGACAAAGGTGAAATTTAAAACCATCAGTTTTCTCTTAACCATTGTGGAGAAGTTTGATGGGAGAAGTGTTCAAGTGAAAATAATGAGTTTTGTGTATACTTACTGATCTGTGCCCCCATTAACATGCTGACCACTTGAATTATAGCTCATGATGCCTAAATGACAAGGGATCATTTCTATTCTTATGTACCTGTTAGAGCCTTTTTGAACATTAAATACCGTGACCAGGAAATCAGAAAAAAGGGACAGCAGGGTGAACTGGTGGATCAAGAATATGCATTTACTTTTATAAATCAAGGGTGTTTTAGACATGTGGGCTTAAAATTATTTCCTACGCGTATTTTTGAATGCATATTTTTGCACTGAAACAATGTGTTTAGCAGCAAATTAGAATAGTTAAGAACATAGATTCTAGAACCAGACTTCCTTGGGTTTTGAAACTTGACTCCATTGCTTCATAGGCAAATTAGTTAACCTCTCTACTTCAGTTTCCCCATATATGAAGTGTGAGATAATAATAGAACTTAGCACATAGGATTCTGTGGAGATTCATTGATTAAAATATGTTTGGAACAGTATCTGGCACTTGATGGGTGAACTCTGCTTTTTAAGTAAACAAACATAGAAAGTGCTTAATACATAGTAGCTATATTATATATTTATAATCACAAACTTGTGTGCCTCTCAGTACAGTGTTTAGTGCCAGGGATTAGTATGTGCCCTGCCCTACAAGGAGCTTAGAGTTCAGTTGAGCAAGCATTCATTATGCACTTGTGTTGTGCCAGTAACTGCTAGGCATAAGAAGTATAAGTGAAAACCGTATTGGAAGCCCTGCCCAATTGAAGAGTGTACAGAACACATGAAAGGAAGAGCTGCGTGTTTATATATCTAGGGTCTAATTATATTGCAAGTTGTATGCATCCTATGATTTTCCAGTAATTTCAGAAAGATTTTTGGATAGCAAGCTATCTACTCTTGTGTTCTTCATAGTGCTAAGCATAGAACAGTGTCCCTGATTAAATGCTTATTGAATAACAAATTGAGTGATTAGCTGAGGAAGATCACATAATAAAATAAAATGAGATAATAAATGTGAATTATTTTGTTAAGAGGAATAATTTTGATTTCAGTTCCAAGAAACTATGATCCTACCTTACATCCTTTTGAGGTCCCACGAGAATATGTAAGAGCTTTAAATGCTACCAAACTGGAACGGGTATTTGCAAAACCATTCCTTGCTTCCTTGGATGGTCATCGAGATGGAGTCAATTGCTTGGCAAAGCATCCAAAGAGCCTGGCTACCGTCCTTTCTGGGGCATGTGATGGAGAGGCAAGTGTCACTCTAAATGTTGATATTTTAAACTAAAAATATCAAATATATTACAAATGTTTTTTCTTTAGCTTTAGTTACTGTAGGTTTTGCTTTGTTTAATTTTAGTTTAATTCTCAGGACTAAGTTCTGTAAGTTCAATAGTTTCTTCTCTAAACCTAAGAAATTATAGAGTAGTGGAAGGATCAATTTGACAGTAAATAATCATGTTTATAATTAAAATGTTTTAAGTGTAAGTTTTTTCACAAAGGATGTTATTAACAATTTAGTACCTAATTTCCTACACTGTCAAGGAAAAAAGTTTTGAATCATCCTAAACTAGAATCAGCAGACTATTTTTTGGTTTTAGGATTTTGCCTGGTAGGGTGATTCATAGCCTTTTCGATATTTAATTTCATTTTCTTCAAATGTAGTACCCCTGTGCCTGAACATTTTACATTTATAGTTCACTGAAATTTCTTGGTATGCTTGCTCATAGGTTAAAATATGGAACCTGTCTCAACGAAAATGTATCCGTACAATACAAGCACATGAAGGTTTTGTGCGTGGAATATGTACTCGCTTTTGTGGGACTTCTTTTTTTACTGTAAGTATAAAGCCAATGAATCATTAAGTTCTATCAACGAGGTCAAAAATGATCTATTGAAATTGTTTTTAAATTCATGTGTTTGTTTTAAGTCCCCTTTAGAGTTTCACAATGCAAAATAGCTTATTAAACTTTGAAAAATACAGGCTTTCTTTATGTAATTCAACCCTTCCTATACTCTCACTTATTATAAATAATTACTCAGCATTGTTGAACTAATGTTCTGTGAACACAGAAATGAGATTAATGGGAGGCTAGAAAGGAAGTTTGGCTTATTTTGGAGGATTTTCAGTGCTAAGAGAGTAATTTGTACTTCATTTGTCAGATGGTAAGGAATCATCAAAGTTTTGTGCAGGTTGTGGTAAAATATACGTAACATAAAATTTACCATCTAAATTCTTAACTACAGTTTGGGGACATTAAGTACTTTCACATCATTGTGCAACCATCGTCACCATCCATCGCCAGAACTTTTTCATCTTCCCAAGCTGAAACTATATTTATTAAACAGTGACTCCTCATTTCCCCCAGTCCCCTGCCCCTGGTAACCACTATCCCACCTTTTCCTTTGTAGATTTTAATATTCTGGGGGCCTCATGTAAGTAGAATGATACAGTTTTTGTGTGGGTAAAATAAGCCTTTTGTGAAGGCTTATTTTGCTTAACATCATGTCTTCAAGGTTCAGGTCAGAATTTCCTTTTTATGGTCAAATAACATTTCATTGTGTGTATATGCCACATTTTGTTTACCCATTCAATAGACATTTGATTTGTTTCCACCTTTTGACTTGTAAATAGTGCTGCTATGAATCCTGATATACAAATACCAGTTTGAGTTCCCTGAAGACTTTTTAACAGTTAAATGACAGAATCTAAACTGTGCTTTGATTTGATTCATTTGACAGCAGTGAGTTACCAGTTTGGAGTCTATGTTTTAATTGTCTGGGTAGGCAATAAGGCTACCCTGGGGAGTGAAAATAGTAGAAAGTCATGATTGGATTTAGAAACATTTTGGAAGCTTGACAGGGTTGATGACTGAGAGGTGCCTGGAAGGGTAGTGGTTTCTGTTACAGAAATGGGGGATGCAGGAGTCTGAGCAAATAAGAGGGTGGGCATGAGAAAGAAGTGGTGTGATGAACTGGATTATTTATGGGCTAGTTGAGTAAAGATATCTAACCTACCTCTACAGATAGAGGTGTGGAGTTCAGGAGGGAAGTCAGAGCTAAACTAGGTATCATCAGTATAGAATTAATGATTGAAGCCATAGTATGGCATCACTGGGGAGGAAGTAAAGAGGAAAGTATAGAAATACAAAGATGTCAAGGAAGTAACCTTCAGAAATGCCCACCTCTAGGAAATGGGAAGTCTCTGGGAGTAGTCAGAGAGCTCAAAGAGCCTACAAATGAGTGTGGTCCCAGGAGAAAGAAATAATCAGCTGTGTGAACTTTGTTGTAAAGATAAAGATGAAGGTTAAGGAAAACATTTTAGGAATGTAGAAGTGCAAAAATTAGAAAGTTAAAGATCCTGTATTTCTACTCTTTCACTTCTAACACTGTAGGTTTGGTGTATCGCTTTTTAAATATCTTGACTTACATATATAACAGTTCATGTATACATACACACTAATCATCCAGGTAGATCTTCCTTTTTTTTTTTTTGAGTTGGAGTCTCACTCTGTCGCCCAGACTGGAGTGCAGTGGCCGCTCCCAGCCACCGCAGCCTTGACCTGTTGGACTCCGGCGATCCTTCCACCTCAGCCTTCCAAGTAGCTGGAACTATAGGCGCGCGCTACCACATTATTGTAGAGATGAGGTCTCGCCAAGTTGCCCAGGCGAGTCTCGAACCCCATGGGCTCAGACAGTCCACTCACCTCAGCCTCCCAAGGCCCGGGATTACAGGCTGAATCACCAAGCCCGGCTCTTCCTTATTCTTAATTCACTGGTGATGTTTTAAAAAACAGGTTGAGCCAGGTGCATCGGTTCACATCTCTAATCCCAGCACTTTAGGAGGCAAAAGTGAGAGGATTGCCTGAGCTTAGGGGTTCGAGACCAGCCTGAGCAATTTGACAAAATCTCATTTCTATAATAAATCAAAAAAATTAGCTGGGTATGGTGGCACATGCCTGTGGTTCCAGCTCCTTGGAAGGCTGAAGCAGAAGGATCACCTGAGCCCAGCAGGTTGAGGCTGCAGTGGCTGTGAGTGTGCTAGTGTACTCCTCCAGTCTGGACATCAGACTCAAAAAGAAAAAAACCAGAAAAAAACTGGTTGAGCTGAATATAAAGAGGTTGCAACCCAGGGGAGAAGATAACTTCTGGGCAACCTGATAGCTACAGTTTGAACAATCATCATGTGAAAGAGGAAATAGACTAATTTGTTGCTCCATAGAGAAGCACTGGGAGTAGGCGTTACTGTTAAAAATCTGGTTTTGAAGTAAAGAAAAACTAACTTGCTGTCAAAAACCAGAATAGGTTACCTTGCAAAGCATTCAGTTGCCTTTCACTGGAGGGGTGCAGATGAGCTGCATGACTCTGTAAACTGTGTTGTAGAAGTAATGGAGTGGCAAGTTGGAGCAGATGGCAAGTAAGGCTTCTTCTAGTTGGCTATTCTTTTGGATATATTGATTAATATCCCAGCCAAAGGGTTTGTTATATATTTTTTGAATGCTTAAAAAGAATAAAGGCTGATTTGCGTCGTTGTTTACAATAACAAAGATAAGGCATCAACCTAAATTATCCAGTAATAGCTGAATAGATTTTAAAAACTTGGTATACATGATACATTACTTAAATATAGCTTTTTTAAAAAGGAGAAACAAGTGGTCAATAGGAAACATTTTCAGTCTTTATACATTTTAATTTGTGCTTTAATTGACATAGAAATTGTGTATATTTATAATATACAACATGGTGTTTTGATATATGTATACACTGTGGAATGAGTAAATTAAGCTAATTAACATATCTATTACTTCACACTTATCATGATATTGTGGTGAGAACATTTAATCTTCTCTTAGCAACTGTCAAGAATATAACATACCGTTATTAACTATAATCACCATGTTGTAACTATCTCTCCAGCACATTTGAACATATCCCTCCTGTCTGTTTGAAGTTTTGTATTTTTCACCAATATCTCCCCAATCACCCACTCTCAAAGCCCCCTGGTAATTACCATTTACTCTTGTTTCTATGAGTTTAGCTTTTTTAGATCCCACAGAGAGGGAGATGATGAGATATTTGTCTTTCTGTGCCTGACTGACTTCATTTAGGCATAATGCCTTTCAGGTTCGTTCATGTTGTTGCAAATGACAGGATTTCCTTCTTTCTGAAGACTGAATAGTATTCCATTATGTATATTATCTGTGTAGCTGTCAGCACAGTGAAAAGACAAACTATGGCTTTACTAACATGAAACTAATTTTGACTTCTTGGACTCCTGAAAAGTCCTCAAGGTCTTCTGGAGGCCTGCAGTTCATAGTTTGACAACCACTTACTTAGTAGTTTCTGCAGTTCTGTGTCATACAGAAAAGGGCTTTATCTGTTGCAGTATTACTAAAGTGCCTTCTCTGTAGTGTTTTTGTGTTTTTTGTTTGTTTTTTTTTTTTAACATTTGAAACATTTTATTTTCATGTAAGGCAGCAAATTGGCTCGAACTCTTTAGATGACTGTCCTAATGTTATAATACCATTATAATCTATTTTTTTCCGTAAGTTGAAATGCCATCTTTAATATAATATGCGCTTGGTCTCTCTTTCTCTCTCTCTCTGTCACTCTCTCCCTCTCTGCAGTTCTCTCCCTGCCTCTCTTCCACTTCCTCTCTCTCTCTCTTACTCTCTCTTTATCTCTCTCTTTCTCTTTTTTCCCATTACAGATCTTCTCTGTAACAGCCCCTTTTAATAAATCTCTTGGTTCTGAAAAAAAAAATACATATATATATAATATGCATGATCTAACTTTGCTCCTGTTCTTTTCTTTTGCTCTACTCATATTATTTTAGTTTTAATTTTATGTACCTTATATATTTGTCACCAATCTTTACTGTAACAAGGGGAGATATAAATGCATCAACAAATATAGGGAGGATATGGTATGGTACCTTTTGTAAACAAGATGCTTATAGTTTGGTATATGTTATTGGCAAATTTTAATTTGTAACTTGTTCATTATCATCATCATAATAAAACAAATATTTCTAGGTTGGTGATGACAAAACTGTGAAGCAGTGGAAAATGGATGGACCAGGCTATGGAGAAGAAGAAGAGCCATTACATACTATATTAGGAAAGGTACAAAAATAAATTGACTTAAAATTTGTTTATTAAAATTCTTCTTTTACTTAAAATTATTTCTTAGTTATAATTTCCCGAAAGGTGAGGGGAGATGTAAGTAACAAGTGAAGGACCTTAGACTGCAGTTAGTGACCTACTTAAGCAATATTTGACACAGTTGAGGTCCTTTGAAGCTGAAGAATTTTAACAGATTTTTGGTGTTCATTGTAGTGGAGTTTGATTTCTGTTTTTAGCTAGAGGATGCAATGAAACATTTCCTATAGTAAGGCCATGGAGGAAAATCTGTAGGGTAGAAGTTCAGAAAACTAATGTTCAATTTGTCTGGTTTATATCATAGATCTTACACAAAACTCAGAATCTCTTACTTAAAAGAATTCTTTAGGAAATAAAGAAATGTAGTAATATGCTTCTTGTATAAATCTTATGCTTTTACCAAATTATTCTGCAAATCAGATAATATGGTTTAGTTTTGGCTTAAGTATAATTCAGAACATTTGGCCTGCCCATGTTTTAAGATGTTTACATTTTTATATGAAGTAGACAATTCTAAAATTATACTTAATCTTTAAATTAAACATATGCATTTTTAAAAATCACTTTGTCATTTCAGTTTTATAGTTAGTAGATATTTGGATTCTGTGAAGAAGTTCTATAAGTTCTTTTATTTGTTTTTTTTCTTTCCCTCTCCTTCCTCCGCCTTCTCTAAATGTTCTTAAAGAGAGAGGGGTGTGGGGTATGAATAGGAAATAGAGATAATTTGTTGATGGTAACAAATAACAAATTAGTAATTCCTAGAACAAAATTTGTTATAACATGTCTCTTTTTGATACTGTTTTCCTCTTTAAGTAAGGGTTTCTATAAATTTTTTTCTCCACTGGGCTTGGTGGCTCAGCCTGTAATCCCAGCACTTTGGGAGGCGAGGCAAGTGGATTGCCTGAGCCCGCAGGTTCGAGACCAGCGCAGGCAACTTGGCGAGACTTTGTCTCTCCAATAAATAAAAAATTAGCCAGGCGTGGTAGTACACGCATGTAGTTCTGGCTAATTGGAAGACTGAGGCAGACGAATCGCTGGAACCCAGCAGGTAGATGCTGGGGTAACCTTGAGTGTGCCACTGCACTCCAGCCTGGGTGACAGAGTGAGACTCCAACTCAAAAAAAAAAAAAGTTTTTTCTCAGAGAAATGAGAGTATAGATAAATATATTTAAAGTATTATTCTGCAGATCTGAAGTCATAATGAATAAACTTAACTGTAACAACCTCTTTGCTTTAAAAGACAGTGTATACCGGAATTGATCATCACTGGAAAGAACCTCTTTTTGCCACATGTGGACAGCAAGTAGACATTTGGGATGAACAAAAAACCAATCCTATATGTTCAATGACCTGGGGATTTGACAGTATAAGTAGTGTTAAATTTAACCCAATTGAGGTAATGTTCCTTTTTGAAATTGTTTAAAAACAATTACTATTTTATTTAATTGAAATTTATTATAATTTAAATAAATTTAGCTCTGCTTACAAAACTTTTGCATGTATGGTATAAGAATTTTAATAATGTTTTAGCATTTTGTCAATGTTCCAGATTGTATCTGAGTTCTAATACCTTTGGTAAAATCTTATTTATTTATTTATGTACCCCTTGGTCACATCTCAACATGTTTGCCAACAGTTTAGTCTCAGATACCAGTGTTTAGTATAGTTAGAGGAGGGATGTGTGCATGTGCCCTTGGAAAAGAATCCAACCAAATACAAACTGTTTAACTTAATTTTACTTATGCCTATAATACTTGTGTTCCACAGATTGTCATTGTACATTCAGGAAAATGTTAATTTTTCTTAACCCTCTTGGAGGTCAGAAGAAGGTGCATTGAGCATTGTTTTGTCTATTTGTAATTGATTAAGGGTACCAGTGTTCCATAATAGTGTGTTGGCAAACTATAGTCTGTGAGCCACATGTGGCCCACTGCCTGTTTTTCTACATAAAGTCCTACTAGAACACAGCCATATTCTCTTGCTTACATATTGTCTGTAGCTGCTTTTGTGCTATAATGGCAGAGTCAAGTAATTGCTACGGAGACCAAAAGGCCTACAAAGCCTAAAGTACTTACTTTCTGGCCTTTTACAGTAAAAGTTTGCCGATTACTTGTCTAGAGTATCTATCTCTGCTGTTACCTTCTTCACTTCGTCCTCCATCTTCCTTCCCTGTGTTCCTTTTGGTCGTAAAAGTGAGATATAGCATGGAGAGACAAGCTAGCTTTGCAAAGTAGGGCCTAGGTAACACTGAGCAGAAGCAAGCTATAAACATAAGCCATTTATAGGAACATTTTATGCCCTACTTAGTGTGGTGCTAAGCTGAAACTGTGTTTCCTGCCAATATGCCTTTGTGTTGACCTTATACAAGTCACAGTTTTTTGCTATATTTTTTTGTTTTAAAAATGAGATTAATTATATCTCCTAGTGTGTTTTATAGGTTTGTTGTGAGTGTAAACGTTGATAATATATGTGAACATTTTCAAAAATACTTTCCACATTCAAGATGGTGATGTTATTACAGTAAAAGATAAAATGAAATAAAACCCAGCCAGTTACTGATTCCTATGATTTTAAGGAACTAACTCTTCTTTGGTGAGAACCTGTGTCAGAAGAACTGATGGCCATTTCTAAAATCATAATTAATTTGTGATGACCTAGTGACCATGTTTTTGAGACTTGCCTGTATAACATCTGTATTTGTTCAGTTGTGGTTTGTTTTTTTTAAATTATCCTTATGAGATGACTTAGAGGTAAAGGTAAATGGTGTATGCATGTCTCTTATCCTGTATTAAACTTAATGGAAAGGGCATGTTGCTATGACCAAATGGAGTATATTTGTCTCCTCTAATCATTAATAATTAATTTTCTGTTAAAATATTGAAGCCTAGCTTTCTGGTAAAGCCAAAAGTTTGTGCTGAGCATTGTCACATTTGACAGTGTGAAAGTTGGCATTCAGTCTAGGTAGAATTTTTTTACTTTGCTCAGATAAGTCTTTGTTTTTAGAAATGGAACCTGGTTACACCCCGAGGTGACATAATGAGAGGCCAGGAAGGGTTGAGAGACATCACTAGGGGAAGTGTCAGAGAGGCAGCCATCAAGACAGCAGACTCTCAGAAAGGACTGAGAAGAGATCAGGATCTAACATTTGCTTTATAATGTTTTAGTTGAACTGTGCACACACAGTAGTAGAAGTTAGCTGGCCATGCAGCTATTTAGTAAATAACTCTTCTCCTCTACACTTACAACAGGAAGTAATAGTAGGCAGAAGCTAGGAGTTGTGTGTCAGGAACCATGAGTGAGGAGGAGTGGTACTGCAGAGTGTGGGATTCAGGGATCCACTGGATGGCAGGGGATTTATTTTCATTTAATACCAAAGGTTCTGTAAGTATTTGTACATTTATAACTGACTTACAAATAAAATAAGTACATGAAACATCTGAAAACAGTTGGACAAAGGACTGGCCTAATTTTACAGCGAGTTAACAAACACAAGAAAATAAGTAACTAACTGCTGATAAAGAATAAATTTATACCCTGAATATTTTCCATAATGCCATAAGAAAGGGATTGGCAGTAGCCAGAAACTGCCAAGGGGTAGGGGAGGCATATAACATCAGTAAGGGTACCTAATCTCTAACCAGGCAAAGTGGGAATTAAAGGGAGACCCAAACTTTACCTGTATGAGGACTATTTGTTTACTTAATCCTGAATTGTATCCCACATCTTTAAAATTAAAAAAAGAATACACTTATATAACTATGAGACACTATCATACAGTTATTAACTTCAAAACGATATTGCCTAATGCTGCCCAGTTGCATTAAAATTGGCATATTCCCACATTGAAATGTATATTGGTATAACTCTGGAAAATAATTAGCCTAAATATCAAAAGCCATAATCTTGTTCATACCTTTAGATTTCGTAATGTCACTCCTAAATGTGTGCAAATGTTTAAAGTATTACTTATAATAGTAAAAAACAGGAGAGTCTAAGTTGAAGAATGGATACATAAAATATGTTCTGTTATAAATTAGAACAAGTATTAACTGCACTATCATCACTGACATCTAAAACGTGCTGCATGGGGATTTGACAGTAAAAATACTTAGGTTGCTGAAATTATGGATGATTTATTGTACCTTCTGAAAATGGACTTTAATATTCAACTTTGTTTTTTAACGTAAATATTAAGGATACTTAAATTATCTGTTCAGTGAATAGGTATGGTTTGCTACCAAGTGTGACTTTAACTGGTGTTATACTTATTTTTAGACATTTCTTTTGGGAAGTTGTGCTTCTGACAGGAATATAGTACTGTATGATATGAGACAAGCCACTCCTCTGAAAAAAGTGAGTTTCAATTTTGTCTTTTGCTATATACAATTGGTGACACGTTCCTCTGTAAATTAAGTAACTGAAAATATGGAACAAGTTTTGTTTTTTTGGTTTTTTTTGTTTTTTTGTAGAGATGTTCTTAGGACCCAAAATGATGATTGTGGCAGTCTCTTAGCTCCCTGTTGCTTTTTAGAGACCCTTAACTATTCACTAAGTATTATATCCTAGACATCTCTGTGACTTCCTTGACACCCTAAATTTTAGGTATCTAGTGAGTACTAATGATTTGAAAGTTCTTATGTTAAAGATACTGCATCTCATTGCTTAACACTGTAATAATACTTCAGGCCCCATGATTATCATATGACACATACAGTATTTTAGTCCAGAAAATCTTAGAACTATTCACATAACCAGCTTTGTTTGTTTAGTTGTATGCCGATGGGTACTAGTTTGACGTTTTGTTTAGACATGCACTACCCTGTTCAGGGTAACAGATTTCCCAACAGTTCTAAAGTGGTCATTCCAGGACTTAGATATCAAAGCTAATACAACCTTAAGTTGATTCTCAAGAGAGAGAGAAATATTGTTTGGAGGCAAAGAGAGGAATGCTGTTTTAAGTAAAGGGGTGTAAAGTTGATTTCAAGTACTGGAATTGTGAGAACACAGGAGAAAGACTAGACATCATTCATATGCCATGAGTCCATTGTCATAGTCCACATATAAAATAAATGATTTTTTATTCATTAATTAACTATTTATTTTTGTAGAGACAGAGTTTCACTATATTGTCAAGGCTGATCTTGAACTCCTGGCCTCAAGTGAGCTTCCTGCCTTGACCTCGCAAAATGGTGGGATTAGAGACCTGAGCCACCATGCCTGGCCAAGAAATGCTTTAATATTTGGTTTTGCTTTTCCTAAATCATTCTTATAATATATAAAAAGCTCAGAAGTATTAGAAGTAGAGTACATTCATTGAAATTTGAAATCAATAAAAGCCGGGCTCTGTGGCTCAGCCTGTAATCCCGCGCCTTTGGAAGGCTGAGGTGAGCGGATTGCCTGAGCCCGTGGGTTTGAGACCCGCCTGGGCAACTTGGCGAGACCGCATCTCTACAATAAATCAAAAATTAGCCGGGTGTGGTAGCGCGTGCCTGTAGTTCCAGCTACTTGGAAGGCTGAGGCGGAAGGATCGCCGGAGCCCAGCAGGTCGAGGCTGCGGTGGCCGGGAGCGGCCACTGCACTCCAGTCTGGGTGACAAGAGTGAGACTCCAACTCAAAAAAAAAAAAAATCAATAAATATGGGCAACCCTTTCGGTCTGCTCCCACTGGGAGCTTTTCTGTTCTCTCAGTAAATCCTGCTTTCAAAAAAAATAAAATAAAATAAATTGATAAATATGATGATCTTTCCCAAGTCTCACTTTAATCATTTCACTCATTCATGTGATATAGTGGGAAAGTCCTACATGAACTTTGGTTTTTTATTCAGCTTATGTTTCTCTTGTAAAATGATGGTATTAATAACTACTTTGTAGCATATTGGTGAGAATAGACTTGGTACTTAAAGCAGTTAGCAGAATGCTGACATGAAGTACGAGTTTAATAAATAGTAATTTCTGTTCCCTTCTACCTACCTAGCCCCCACCCTCTGTGTGGTTTTTTGTTTTGTTTTGTTTTGTTTTTTTTTAAGTCGGAGTCTCACTCTGTCGCCCAGCTGGAGTGCAGTGGCATGCTCACAGTTATCACAGCCTCAACCTGCTGGGTTCAGGTGATCCAACCACCTCAGCTTTCCAAGTAACTGGAACTATAGGCAGGTGCCACCTTGCCTGGCTAATTTTTTTATTTATTGTGGAGACAAGGTCACACCGCGTTGTCCAGGCTGGTCTTGAACCTGTGGCTTCAGGCAATCCTCTCACCTCCCAAAGTGCTGGGATTATAGGTGTGAGCTACCATGCCTGGCTTCATTTTCCGTTTTTAATGGTGCTCCATTACTTTTAAGTTGGAAAAAACAATGGTAGCCTAGCTTTCAAAGCCCTCTGAAATCGGATTCCATTTTGCAATTTATTTGTTTATTTGTTTCAATCACCAAGGCAGCATTTAATTGGAATTTGTCACATGCAGGTCACTTTGACAGATGCAGAGATTGTTAGACACTGCTACTTTCTGTTGTTTCTTGGTTCAGTCTACTAGAGTATCAGTATTTCTTCTGTTCTTTCTCTCCTAAAATAGTGGTTCTCATTTGAGTTTGTACTCCCCCACCAGGTGTAGTTTGGGGAATATAGGAGGGGCATTCAGTGGGGAGGAGCCTGAGAGGCTAAACATCCTAGTGGATAATTGCGTACAACAAAAGATTAACCTGTGCAGGATGCCATAGTGTTCTCATTGAAAAACGCAAACACTAAATTCTTGATCCTTCATAGGTTAGTTCAAATTATACTTGTCTTTTGAGACATTTTTTTCTCTACTTTAACCCTAAACTCACCATTGTTTATTACTTTATTATATTTTAACTTTTCTTATGTATGTCTCATTTTTCTGACTAAACTAAGTTGTTTGAGATCAAGGAACAGGAGTTAAGTTAGCATTTTTCTATTTTTTTATATTTACCACTCTGCCTGTGTATTCAGGAAATAGTTACTGATGGATTTATCTTCCCATTGCGCTGAGTTGAATACTGTGCACATAATAGGTACTTACTAAATATTTGTTTAAATCAATGCAAACCAAAGGAAAGGAAATGCAGTGGAAGACTTATCCATTTTAGAGGTAATTTGCTTCATTTTTTCTTTTTCTTTTTTTTTTGAGTCAGAGTCTTACTCTGTCACCCAGTCTGGAGTGTAGTGGCACACTCATGGTTCACTGCAGCCTCAACCTCCTGGGATCTGGTGAGCCTCCCATCTCAGCCTCCTGAGTAGCTGCAGTTGTAGGTGTGTATCATCATGCCTGGCTAATTTTTTGAATTTTTGTAGATGAGATCTTGCTATATTGCCCGTGTTGCTCTCAAATCGCTGGCCTCAAGCATTCTTCCCACCTTAGCCTCCCAAATACCAGGATTACAGGCGTGAGCCACTTTGCCTGGCCCCAGAAGTAATTAATTTCTGGTGATGGCATAGTATATGCTTCCTTTCTCAGGTCATCTTAGATATGAGAACAAATACGATCTGTTGGAATCCCATGGAAGCTTTCATTTTTACTGCAGCAAATGAAGATTACAAGTAAGCTTTCCTCTTTTAAAAACTTATTTCTATCTAAAATGGCTTAGTTGTGTAAGTCTTACTAAGAACATATATATCACTAGGTAAGTATACCTTCATATATAAGTTAGAAAACTATCATTTGTTTAGCTTTAAAATGTTTTCCAAATTGGAGAAGAATTTCTTTAGAAAACTATTTTCTTAGTTTTTAGAATGATATGGATAAGGGATTGTAAATGACAACCAGTGGGCCAAATCCTGTCTGCTACCTGCTTTTATAAAATTTTATTGGAATATGGCCATATCCATGTATATATTGGATGGGGCTGCTTTTGTACTATAACAACTGAGTTGAATAGTTGAAGCAGAGACCTTATGGTTCAGTTTGCTAGAAATGTTTACTATTTGGCCCTTTCTAGAAGTTGTTGGCTGATCTCTGATGTAGATCTTATAAATAATAACTGAACCATACATGTTTTAATGGAAACGAAAATATCTTCCTACACATTTGTAACTTTCAGGTAGCGGATATTCATGTATAGTCATGTTATAGTTATCTTTTTAGTATCCTTATAAGGTGGGTGGAACATGTATATTATCCCCTTTTTAAGATATTAAAGCAGGGAGATCACTCTCCCCATAAGGAAAGAATGTTTTATTCATTTTATTCATTTTTTAAAATCTAAAGCATTTATTATAGTGCTATGAATATAGTAGATTCTTACGCTTTTTTTAGAGAAGTCAGAAGTTTGGTGGTGGATTGAACTTTAGATATTTTGTATTTAAGTTCTGAGTTCCGCTATATAGATCTGAAGGCATAAAAAGTAGTAGTGTTAGCTCATAAAAGGATTTATTACATGATGTTTTAGGGTACCAACTAAGTATCTCTTATGACTTTCTGTACTAAAAAGAAGCTCAATTGGACTCTCATTAGCTAGAAGTATTAAACCACATTAATTGAAACCCTTTTAAGCCTTTATTGATGTTTTGAAATTAAATTACATTGTTCTAGTTAAAGGCAAAAAAAGATAAGAGTGAGACAGCATTATTGTAACCAACTTTATTAAGGTTTCTAAAGTATGTTCTGATCAGCTATTTTTAGCCAGATATCATTTTTCAGAATGTTCCTGGAGTTCCTCATTTCTTGCCTTTGGAAGAATGACACCCGAAACAAAGAGCATATCCCTTATAAGAATTGACTTGTTAAAGTACCATAATTACTCTTACTTGAAGGTGATCCTGCTGTGGTATCTCTTTTCTATGTTTATAAAGACAGGGCATGCCAAAAAATACGTATGCTCATTTTAAGTATGGTGTTCACTCAAAAGATGGCGCTAATTAAATGAATGCTAGCATCACCATGCGACAGGCAGGACAGTCAAAGAAAATGGTAGAAGCACAGTTCAGTGAACATCATACTACACATAGCTACCGTAATTTAATTGAACTTCAAAAAGTAATACATAGATAACATCACTTAAAATTTATATACATTTTTTTGGCACCCCCTGTATATTCTTTCTCTTAATGCCCTTTAAATATTCTAATCATTGTGAATTAGAAACCCAAGTTCAAGTGTAGTCCAACCAGTAATTACTGTAAAAAGTTGGGCAAGTCATTTAAACTAACTCCATAGTTTCATCATCTGTAAAAGTTGAAGGTTAGAATAGGTGATCCCTAAAGAATCCTATATCTTGGAACTTTGTTATATAAACATTTTCCATCCAAACAAATTGATTTACTTAGAATTTGAATACATTCTTATCTTTCCTCCCACGTAAAAATAAATTTGCTAAAAAACAGTTTGCTAAAACATAACAAATTTGGTTGAAAACCACTGCTCTAGGCAGAAACTATAGTTAACAATGATCATTTGATTTAGGGTTTTGTCTGTCAGGTTTCTCCACTATGGAGTTACTGTTTTTTCCCTTTGTAATTATTACATATCTTCAGAGAGATACTTTGAAACTAGACACCATCTGTCTCCTCAGATTTTCACTCATTGATGTTCGTATCTACAAGTATTTTGTTATTAGAAACTTGGTTTCAGTAATGCTATATTAATTTTGTTCATGCTGACTCATTTGGAACAATATTATTTTAGCTGTTAGATTAAAAATTTTTAAATCTTGAAACTTACATAATCACTTTTTTTGCCAGTTGTGCATAATTTGGGTAATGCTTTGAAAAGCTGTATTCATCCTTATGTATCACTGATAGCCATATATATTAGTGCAGCTTTGTTGGGATTGATTTGACAACTCATATCAAGGCTTAAAAATGTTTGTGCCTTTAGACCTAACAGTCCTACTTACAGGAAGCTGTCTAGATTTAATTGAATGTGTCTCATTTAATTAAAGATTAATCTATGATAGAGCCACTGTACTCCAGCCTGGGCAAGAGAGTGAGATCCCAACTCTTTAAAGAAAAAAAAATTGAATGTCAAAAATTTAAACATCAGGATTTTATTAAGCATTATTTATAATTTTAAAATAAGCCAGGCTCGGTGGCTCAGCCTGTAATCCCAGCACTTTGGGAGGCTGAGGTGAGTGGATTGCCTGAGCCTGCGGGTTCGAGACCTGCCTGGGCAACTTGGTGAGACCTCATCTCTACAATAAAATAAAAAATTAGCTAGGCGTGGTAGCGCACGCCTGTAGTTCCAGCTACTTGGAAGGCTGAGGCGGAAGGATCGCTGGAGCCTAGCAGGTCAAGGCTGCAGTGGCTGGGAGCGGCCACTGCACTCCAGTCTGGGTGACAGAGTGAGACTCCAACTCAAAATAATAATAATAATAATAATTTTAAAATATTGGAAACTATTAAGATATAGGGAAAAAATATTTTAACTCAATTGAGTATGCAGTACTTATTATCTTTTCAAAGATTATTTAATGATGTGGGTAAATGCTCATAATATGCTACATGAAATAGCAGAATATAAAGCTTTATATAGAATTTCACTTTTATTAAGAGTATGTATTTAAATTGCATGGAGAAAAGATTTTTTTAACAAATTACACTGACTTTTCTGAGTAATGAAATTAAAGGTAATTGTGCTCCTTGTCCTTTTTTGAAATATTCACATTTTTCTACAAAGAGATTTATGTTTTTAAGGAGAAAAATTGTGTGTATGTGTAAGTGTAGTCTTAAAGAATAATAAACACTTGATATTTTTTCCTGTCCTCATCTGCTTCTGTACAGTGTTGAGCTGTTTATTTAGATGTATATTATTTCAATGATGGGTCTTAGTTTCACTAATATCTTTTAGTACTACATATGACTTCTTTCAAGAAATGTGTATCAAATATTTAAAAATTGTTTTACAGCTTGTATACTTTTGATATGCGTGCACTGGACACTCCTGTGATGGTCCACATGGATCATGTGTCTGCGGTGCTTGATGTGGATTACTCTCCCACTGGGAAAGAGTTTGTGTCTGCTAGTTTTGATAAATCTATTCGAATCTTTCCTGTGGCCAGAAGTCAAAGCAGGTATGTAACTAACAATAAGCCATTTACAGTCACGCATCACTTAATGATGGGGATAAATTCTGAGAAATAGTCGATAGGCGATTTCATTGTTGTGTGAACATCACAGTATATTTATACAGTAACTGTAGATTGTATAGCCTACACACCAAGGCTGAATGGTATAGCCTGTTGTTCTTAGGCTACGGAGTGTTACTGTGGGCAGTTGGAACACAATCAGTGGTAAGTATTTGTGTATCTAAACATTTGAACATAAAAAAGGTACAGTAAAAATATAGTATTTTAATCTTATGGGATCGTTGTCATATATGTGGTCTGCCATTGACCAAAATGTCATTTGTTGTATTTTTGCTTGGTTTTTCTTTGTTCTCATCATGATTTATCTTTTCTGAGAGCATAACTGGTTATGTGTGTATGATAAGGTTTACACCCAGGTGTGGTGACTTGAGGTACTGACTTTCACTGTGTCATCTATGGGCAAAGCATCAGCCTTCCAGGGGGTTTCTTTCATTGAACAAGGTATTATCTTTATATAATTTGTTGGTATGAAATCTCAGTGTTTGCTTTACAGTAGGGCCTTTTTTATTTCAGAATTACTTTTTAATGTTTTGTAGTAAACTTCTGTGAATTTAAATTTAGTAGTGAAAACTTTGATGGGAAAGTTTTTTGCAGTAATGGAGCTTAAGAGCAATTAATAACAATAATAAGCTGGGCTTGGTGGCTCAGCCTGTAATCCCACGCTTTGGGAAGCTGAGGTGAGTGGATTGCCTGAGCCTGCGGGTTCGAGACCCGCTTCGGCAACTTGGTGAGACCTCATCTCTACAATAAATCAAAAAATTAGCTGGGTGTGGTAGCATGCGCCTGTAGTTCCAACTTCTGGGAAGACTGAGGTGGAAGGATCGCCGGAGCCCAGCAGGTCGCGGCTGCAGTGGCCGCTCCAGTCTGGGTGACAGAGTGAGACTCCAACTCAAAAAAAACAAAAACAAACAAATAACAATAATACCTTACATTTCTTATTTTGTACGTAAATCCAGCTGTTCACACCAAGGCAAAAATTTGAAAGGAGGAAAAAAATAAGTTCAAATCGTCAAAACCGTTCTCCCTCCATTCCACTTAGTTAGGCAAAGGCCCTGCCTGGTTGCTTGAGAGGGGGGAGGGGTGAAAACTCGGCTGTCCTTTAGCTTCATTTGTGTGTCTCATTCTGTAAGCACACAGAACGTGATTCTGGTGTATTAGATTTGTGTTGTTTTGTACAGTGTGTCCCTCTACATATTGTTACATGTAGATTTATGCATATGCATCTGTATTCTGTTACATTATATCATATTTTTGTATTGAGATATTTTATAGAAACCTATGGCATTTCAAGGGGTTTGCAAGGGTAATTTCTACTTGATGTTTTGCTTTACAGACTGACTTTAAAAACCTTATTTCTGTGTAAAATCCCTGTGTAGTATGTATGGCTTATAGAACACTTTTATATGCATTCTCATTGTTCCTTAGTAATGCCTTAGATGTGTTCCTAGAATCATGCAAATCCAAGAAAATGGATATAATTTTTCTCATAAAAAATTACAATTAAAGGATATAGTCATAGTCAATCTGCTTATCTAACTCTGGTGTTTTTACTTGTGATATTTGCATCTTTCTTCCCTCCAGTTTGAGGAAGCCATGTAGATTTCTAAACCTTGTGTCATCATTGATTGCCAGCAAATAATTGTCTTCATTGCTGTTTATCTGATTACCAAGGTGCTTGAATCAAAAACATGCTGATGGGAGTGTTCTTGTGACTTTGATCTTCATTCCATAATTTCTGTTGTAGAACTACTAGTGTTTGTTCCTATGTGGCTATTGCTTCCTTTGCAGCTGCCTTGATAGTCTCCAAATTTTGTGAATGGTTTATTGGGATTATTTGGTCAGGTCCAAGCAAGGTTCATAGCTACCATTCCCACATCTCTGGAAAATGTTGAGATTCAAAAGAATATGGCCCTTCATCATTTCTTGGCACCAGAACTGCCAAAGATACAGGACAATATTTTTCTAACATGGTGCATTAGCATACTCAAAGAATGGAAAGAGAGCAAAAGAAAATTGAGAGAGAGGAATTTTTAGGTACTTTGATTCCCTAGGGCCCAGCAGCTGAGTTTAGACTGAATTATTCTAAAACCAGCATGGACAACTAAATGCAGGTCCAGCTGGAAGACTCAAGTTACTACAGAATTGTATAAAGGAGTATATATTTCTTTTATTTCATTTGTTTCATTTCCAGGGAGTTGTCTGATGTCATTTGGAGGTTTTGTAATCACAATCTTAAAATGTATTACTTCCTGTTGTATTTGGATATAGATGGCATTCCCTCTGACTGTAGTCTTCATCTGCATAAAAGCTAGTGCTAGTTCGTTTCTGTGGTTTGTTCTAGTTTCCTATCTTTACAAACATCGAATAATTCATACTTGGGCAGTGCTTTGAATAATCCATCTTTCAAAAATGTTTTCTGGCTGAGCATGGTGATTTACGCCTCTAATCCTAGTACTTCGGGAGGCCAAAGCGGGAGGATTGCTTGAGGCCAGGAGTTTGAGACAGCCTAGGCAATGTAGCAAGACCTCATCTCTACAAAAAATTTTGAAGGTTAGCTGGGCATGGTGGCACATACCTGTAGTCCCAGCTACTCAGGGGGTTAAGGTGGAAGGATTGCCTTACCCAGGAGGTCGAGGCTGCAGTGAGTCATTATGGCACCACTGCACTCTACCCTAGGCGACAGAGTGAGACTGCAACTCAAAAAAACAAAAAAGGAATTTACGTTTAAAAAATGTATTTATCTCACAGTAGTATAACTTATAGTGAGCTTAATAAATCTAGTATATGTGCAAATATAAATATATTTAGAAATGAGGAACACCGCATAGTTTGCCACTAAGGAGGATTCCAAGTTGGGTAAGTTACTGACCACTGGATTTGACCAGTCTACACCATGAACAGATTATTTTTAATGGTTATAGAAGCCTGATTGAATTTCCTTACATTTAAACTTATTATATTGTTTCAGCAAAAGAGGATTGTTACATATGTAGAGAATGTAAGAAATGAATCTTTACAGGCAGAGCAATTGAGCTTGAAGTCAGTGACAGGTTTAAAAAAAAAAAAAAGCAGAACGATGGGGGGAGAAGAAAAAATGTCTGTCTCATTTTAATAGGATGTTCATTCTAATCATTATTTTCCCTTTAAAAATAAATTTCTTACTGTTTAGGTGCTTAAAATATCTTTTGGAAGCTAAAGGTCTAGCTTTGTGAATGTACTATAGAGGTATTTATCTCTGCATATGAACTATATTTGATTTAGTCATCCTTTTTGATTTTCTTTTGCTGTGCATAGTTTCTTAAGCCTGTTTCCTTTCTCTTATGTAGTCTGCATTTTTATTTAATCCAGATATCGAAAATTTACTTCTCCAGAAGTTTCTAATTTTTTGTGACCTTGTCTTTTACTTGCTTTTTAATATTCTTAACACTTCCCAATATAGTGTTCTTTGTGAATTCACTTAGCATGTTTCACAGCCTTCCCAAGTAGGTATGATTCTTGACATCTCCATTTATTAAATGCTTCTTACGTCAATTTATCAGACACTTCTGTAGCCTTCCCCTTCTTTTTTTTTTTGAGTTGGAGTCTCACTCGGTTGCCCAGACTAGAGGGCAGTGGCCGCTCCCGGCCACCGCAGCCTCAACCTGCTGGACTCCGGCAATCCTTCCACCTCAGCCTTCCAAGTAGCTGGAATTACAGGCATGTGCTACCATGCCCGGCTGATTTTTTGATTTTTTTAATTGTAGAGATGAGGTCTCGCTGCCCAGGCGGGTCTCGAACCCACAGGCTCAGGCAATCCACTCACCTCAGCCTCCCAAAGGCGCGGGATTACAGGCTGAGCCACCAAGCCTGGCAGCCTTCCCTTTCTTTTCATACCTGAAAATAAATCATCAACTCTCCTCAATTAATTAAAATTTTTTAATAATTTGACCAAAGCAAAAGTCAGACATTAGGATCACCATATCAGAATGTGTTCTTTGAAAGCCATTGTGTTTCTTTTCCAATAAAATTGAGAGGAAAAGGTATATGGACTGACCTGAATTGATCTGGGATGGGGGGGGAAGGGGCTTATTAAAGAGCAAGCCATTTCTGATTGTTACAAAGTCATACAAAGTTTGAACATCATATTTTAATTGCATTTTATGCATTCAGTTATTTGGTGAACTTTTCTGTACATCTGGTTTTACTTAATTTATATTTCTTTCTCTTATTGGATAGTAAGTTCTCTGAGGGCAGAAACTTTTTTTTAATTTCCCGACACTTAACATAGAACTTTGTTAGTTGGGTTCAGTAAAAATACATTGAAATTAATTTGAATTCCTCTTTTATATTCCCTTAGTACTCAAAAATAGTATCCTGGTACTTAATAGGTGGTAGTTAGTTAAAGAAAATGTGTACCCAAATACAAGGAGTTTTAACAGAATTCCTCTCCCATAGGGAAGTCTATCACACAAAACGAATGCAGCATGTTATCTGTGTAAAATGGACTTCTGACAACAAGTACATTATGTGTGGATCTGATGAAATGAACATTCGTCTGTGGAAAGCTAATGCTTCTGAAAAATTGGGTGTGGTAAGAGAACCCATTTTCTTGTCATAAAGCTAGTTTCTTGTTTTATTAGGTGTCATTATATTGTAAACACTTACTTGAAGTACTTTTAGGTGTTTTGATCAAATTGATATAGCTGTGATAAAGAGAAATAAGTTCTCAAGAAAATAGACATGGCTGTATTGATAATCATTTGTTTCATGTCTGTAGTACCCACAGAGTGCCTTTATTAATTCAGATGTTTGGTAACACTTGAGCCTTCTTGGCACTTTGTGTTTTAAGATACCAAAATTCATATTTTCAGCTTACATCACGAGAAAAAGCAGCCAAGGATTACAACCAGAAGTTGAAAGAGAAATTTCAGCATTATCCTCATATTAAACGGATATCTCGTCATCGACACCTGCCAAAGTCTATCTACAGCCAGATTCAGGAACAGCGCATCATGAAAGAAGCTCGTCGCCGGAAGTATGTTTTGGGACATCTGACTCTATCTCAGTACCCTTTTCTGACTTTCTCTTTTATCCCATCAGAAGCAAACAATAAAACTCATTCAAAGGAGTAGTTTATATGCTGTTATTGAAGTTAGGGATATGTTTAAAGACTTCTCCAGAAAGTCTTTTTCCCCCTTTTCCCAGTAAAGGGGGAAGCAGTGATCATCTGAGAATGTGAGAAGTTTCACTGTTTTGAAAATATGTTTAAAGGACAATGAAAATGAATTATCAAAATAGGAAAACATTTCTACTCATATTAAAACTATGATTATAAATAGATAATTTTTACAAAATGATTTCTGGCTGGGCATAGTGGCATATGCCTGCAATCCCATTCCTTCGGGTGGCTAAAGTAGGAGGATCACTTGAGCCCAGGAGTTCAAGGTTATAGTGAGCTATGATTGCACCACTGCACTCCATCCTGGGCAACATAGTGAGGCCTTGTCTCTACAAGAAAACTTTTACAAAATAAAAAAATTAGGGAGGCATGGTGGTCCATGCCTGTAGTCCTAGCTTCTTAGGAGACTGAGGAGGGAGGATTGCTTCAGCCCAGGAGTTCAAGGTTATAGTGAGCTATGATCATAGTGAGATCTTGTCTCTGAAAAAAAAAATTATTTTTGATGTAGGTGGAATTAAGGGAAACTGTATTTTCCAAGTTAAAGAAATGCAAGAACTCCTCTGTATTGTTCGTTTCTTAAGTAAACATTTTTCTAATATGCTTTATCATAACATTTGCAGTCTGACATTTTGGATCTGGAGCAGAGCTCTTCCACCAATACCATTTTCCCTATGAGATATGCTTTCTTTGGAACACTTGAATGCATGCATGAAATTCTAAGACAGCTCTTTTTTTTTTTCAGTTAGACTGTGCAAATGACTTATTTTGTTGTCTGGATAGATGTTGGGGTCAAATCACTTTGAAATATTTTAGCAACTTTGTCAGATTTTTAAGCTTAGTAAAGGATGCTAATAGGTAATAAAATAAGAAATAAATAAGTAACTAAAGTTGATTTCTGCTTACTGGCTACCTTTTGCCTATTCAGACTGTGAAAATAATTTCTTTCATAGGTGTTTTTCCAGTGGAAAAAAAGGCTTTGATTTTTTTTTATAAGGTTTTATTTGGATAAGATGATTTCTTATAAACTTGTTTATATTTTATTTCTAGGGAAGTGAATCGTCTGAAGCACAGCAAGCCTGGATCTGTGTCAATTGTGTCAAAGAAGAAGAAACACATAGTGGCAGTTGTGAAATAATACTTGGGATTCCTACCAATCCTGAGGCACCGTTATTTGTCACTTTTGAGAGCTCTACAAATAAAAGTACTCAGCTCTAGTTTATTTACAAACATTTCAGTTATATGGATAGAGCTTTATTGTTGCTCATTTTAGCTACCCTGAAAAATTATCCTTAAAGGTGGCCTGGTTGATAAGACTGTCTGTTTTATCCTTAATTTATTTTCTTCTTTCACTGAAGAAGACGGTATTTGCAATGATTTTTTTTTTTTCCTTTTGGGAGTTACAGAGATACATTTTCTTTCTGATCTATTGTTATAAACATTATACATTTGAATTTACATTTAAAACATCACATGTCTCTTGTGATATCTTTAATAGTACTTTGGATAATGATTGCAGTGATGTTTCTTCCTATAAAACATTTAGAAAAACTATGTCAGAAGTTTTTTTAAACTAAATTTATTTCTACTGCTTCATTTATATTTGGCTTTTTGACTCTTTAAGAATAATCAGGGCTGGGCACTGATTATCTTGGCTCAAACCTATAATCCCAGCACTTTGGGAGGCTGAGGAGAGAGCATGGCCTGAGTCCAGGGGTTTGAGACCAGCCTGGGCAACTTGGTGAGACCTCGTCCTACAATAAATCAAAAAATAAGCCAGGCGAGGTCGCACACACCTGTAGTTCTTGGAAGACTGAGAAAGAAGGATCATCTGAGCCCAGCAGGTCAAGGCTGCAGTGGCCATGAGCTTGCCACTGCACTCCAACCTGGGTGAGAGTGAGACTCCAACTCAAAAAAAAAAAAAAGGATAACCAGCCTGCATTTGTATAACTTTTATAAATAATATAATTTGTCAAGTCAAGAGAATGAAATATCCTTTCAGCATTGAAACTTCGACTCACTTTTGGTAAATAATTTTTCATCAGTCTCACTAAATTCTAAATAGGTCTGTGCAACACAAGTTTCTTTTTTAAAATTTTAATAAGTAAACATAAATATGTATAAACTTTAAATATGTACAAAAAAATTCTAGGAAGTTTTGAAATAAAGAAGAGATTTAAAATTCAAAGGAAAAAATGTGTTGAGAATATATTCTTCCCTCTGTATCTGTGGGAGATTGGTTTCAGAACCTACAACAGATAACAAGAACTTGAGAATCCCTGCACATTCCACAGCCAGTTCTCCTGAAGGAACTCTGGGCAGAACATTCCTGTGGCTACCTGGGTCCACTGTGCACCACACAGATCCCCTTTCCTCACAGGTTTGGGAGCAGCTCCTCTGGGGCTCCAGGCAGACCTCTTAGGAGGGGAAAGTTGGGTCATCTGATAAGTAACCCTTTTCTCTGAAGGGCCACAATGGATACTCATCTTTTTCTGCCACTGCAAATTTTGAGCAGCTGATAAGAGATAAAAAAAATTCCAGGCAGGAAAGCTGTTTCATCATATAGCAATTACTTAGAATGAGCCTAACAGGAAAGAGCTTCTCATATAGCCTGCTCCTGCGTAATCAGTTCCAGTTACTAAGGCCAGTTTCAAGTGATTTACAAAGTAGAGCAGAATAGAAATTTACTTAACTATTTTTCTTTCCTTTTTATCACTTGACTTTGATCTTTCTCTTTTTCTGTTTTTCCTGCTTATGTTTTGGCTGTCTTAAATCTGGTTGTACCTTGGCCCGGTGAACTGTCAGTTTATATACCATCTAAAACAGGAAACAGCCATAGTGTGGTGTTTGTCATAGCTTGTGTAGTACTGCATTGAAGAGAGGTTCTATCTGCTGAGTCACTGTCACTACCTCCTGTACAACCTGTGGTTTCCATGGTGATGTCTCAGTGACTTTCACACAATAGAACCCACTGGTTAAAGACATGAGCAATTGCCAGTAATTTGAGCCTTTTACTCATCTAGACATGATTTTGAACATTCTGAAATGTAACCTTACCAGTTAATATCTTGTGGAATAAAATGCATAGATTTGTTGTAAAAGCCGAGGGTAGAATCCTGAGGAAAGGAGGGAGGGAGGAGGAAGGAGGCAATGTGAAAGGATTACTCAAGGAGTGAAAGAAATGAAAATACAAAGGCCTTATAGTAGCTCTGCAGGGAAGAAAAGTTGTATAAGTTACCTTGTTCTTAAGTCTTGCTACTTGGCCACTGTTGTGACCCCTCTCTTTGAGGGAGCCAGAGAAAGGTTGCTATTCAGTCTATTCTTTTATAGTCTTCATTTAGCTTACTTTTTAAAAAAGAAAGGGAACAGACTTAAGGACTGTCATGGACAAGATAATCAAGAAATCAAGACATTTTGTCTTTAGGGAACATTTATGGTCACTTGGATGTTTGAACAATAAACCCAAAATTGGTTGTAACCCAGCAAACTTGTGATTTATACAGAGCCTTCAAATCCCATGTTAGAAAGTATCAAGGAAGTATTTGATTAGAGTGACAGGGATTTTGAAACATGATGGATTCGTATTTTCCAGTTTTTAGGTAATATGACACTCCTCATAGTACTAATGGTGCATACATTTTTTATTTTGTTAAAAGGATGGGCTTGCTTTTTCACCCAGGCTAGAGTGCAATGACACAATCATAGCTCATTACAGTCTCAAACTCTGGCTCAAATGATCCTCAGGCCTCAACCTCCCAAATAGCTAGGACTGCAGGTGCATGCCACCATGCTCGTCTAATTTTCAAAAAAAAATGTGGCGATGGGGTCTTGCTATGTTGTCCAGACTGGTCTCAAAATCCTGGCCTCAGCCTCCCTAAATGCTGGGATTAGAGGCATGAGCCACTGTACTTGGCCAGGTGCATATATTTTTAAAGTAAAATGTTTGCTTTGACCCTGTCCCTTAAAGTTATTAAATAACTAGGGTTAAGTCAGGACCTGGAACTCTCATTGAACAAATGAGTGAATGAATGATTTACTGAATGAGTGTCCTTTTGTTTAGTCAGTGTGTACTGAGTTCCAGCCACGTGTGTTAATTCAAAGGCAGTACCAACTACATGTCTGCATCTCTTTACAAACAGTGAGGTCATTATCTGGAAATGAACTCATTATTTTGCTTCAACCCCTAAAATTTCATCTCCTGCATTCTCTCTGAGCGTCACACCACCCACACAGAGACCCTAGACAAACCTGGGTGTAAGGGCACAAGTTTTATTAATTCATAATAATAGCAACTAATGTTTCATTGAACACTCAAAACACTGCAAATACTTTTAAAAAAATACTTTTTTGCAGGTACTTTAATTTCCTCTTAATTCTCATCAGGACCCCAAAAGGAAGCACTATTATAATCTATACTCTACACTCAATCTATAAAAGATCCTAAAGGGAGCTCAGTCTCAAAATAAACATGAAAACAAGTGATTGCAGTACATAATGATGACTTAGCCAGATTCTGTAGTAGCACCCAAGAGGAAATGCTTGACTTCCTGCTGTAGAAGGAAGAAGCCCTTTGGAGGTGAGCAGTGTTTATCAAGTGCCAGTTGGTTCTGACATAGTGCATGAATGAGTAGGAGTACACGGAACAGTTTTCAAATAAATTGGTGATCCCTCTTTCAGATATGGCACTATTAAAGAAACCATTCTAGCAATGCTGTCTTACCAGAAACTTCATACTGCAGGTCAGAAAACACAGTTGTCCCTTGGTATACATACATGGGAGACTGATAGATTGGTTCCTGGACACCTCCCACCCCCTCCACTCCCCTGCATGTACCAGAATGCACATAGTCAAGTCCTTGAAGTCGTCCCGGTGAATCCCATGAATAAGGAAAGTTGGCTCTCCATATACCAGGGTTTCACGTGCCACTAATGGTGTATTTTCTATCTGCAATAGGTTGAAAAAATGGGCATGTAAGTGAACCCATGTAGTTCAAACCTGTGTTGTTCAGGGGTCAACTGTATAAGGTTTGGACTAATATTCTCCAGAGAGAAGAGAATTGAGTGATGGAAGTTTCACTAGGATACTAAGGATTAATGGATCAGAAAGCACAAAATATTTATCTAGGGGTCTTAGGGCTGAGGGCAGAAAGGGTAAGTGTTTGGTAAAAATAAAAAGAGGCAGCGAGCCGGAGCTGGGTATGCTGCAACCCCTGGTGGATGGGTGGGCCCTCAACAAGATCAGCCAGCAACCATAGGCTTCCAGCAGATGCACATACTCATGCATGCACAAAGGAGCAGAGAGAAGGCTAGCAGCAAAAGAAAGAAGAAACTCTTTTGATCTGTACCCCCATAATTCACCCAGACAAAGGAGAAAATCAGTTTTACTTTTAGAGCCAGCTTTAAAAATGGGCCTGATGGCCAGGCACGACTATAATCCTAGCACTCTGAGAGGTTGAGGCAGGAGGATCACTTGAGCCCAGGAGTTCAAGATCAGCCTGGGCAACATAGTGAAACCTTGTCTCTACAAAAAAATTTAAAAAATTAGCCAGGCATGGCAGCATGTGCCCGTAGTCCCAGCTGAGGGACTTTTTGGAGGCTGAGACGGAAGGATCACCTGAGCCCAGGAGGGCGAAGCTGCAGTGAGCCATGATCGTGCCACTGCACTCCAGCCTGGGTAACAGAGTGAGACCCCAACTCAAATTGAAAAAAATAGGCCTGAATGATTTTATGATCCCCTCTACTAAACAAAGCATTTTACTGCAGCTAAATGCAAAGATTAAAAATTCAGTGGCTGGTTGAGTTAATACAATGAATTAGACATACTCTTGTTTTGTTGTAGATTGGGATCATTTTGTTGCACGGAACTATTTTTTCCTCAAGGGAATTCAAGATGTTTGTGGGGAGGAGTCTCACAGATACCCAAGTACAGGAGCCCCAGCACAGCTGAGCTAGACATCCAAGGCTCTGGAGCTGGCACTAGATAGCCACAAAAAAAGGAGACTTTTTGTGTCTCTACTCTGTACACTCTCTACCAATAGATTCTTCTTGCTCATGATCTCTTCCTTCCATAATTTCAGTGCTTCATGTCCCAAAATGGCTGCCCTAGCCTGACTTGACATGACTTTGCATTTCCAGTGCCCCATCGATTGGGCACTTAGCTCTCTGTCTTTCCATTTCAGTTCCTGAGCAAAGACAACTCCTTGTTGGGATCATCAGTTTAGGGGCAGTGTCCTCTGCAGCAGTGGTTAGAGGCTCTGCTTAGCAGCTTTTAGATATCTGCCCTTGACCACTGGCTTAGCATGTTCTGTGGGTAGGCAAGCCCCTAAAATGCTTCGTACATTACAGTTAATCATCAAAATAAATGGTAACATCATATCAGTATCTTTATATGGGTAAAGGGGTGAAGACACTAGGAAGAACTTGGGCCAGGTCACCCCTGAGTCGATAAAAGGGCACAGGAAAAAGAGGTA